CCATGGATACAGAAGATGTGGCAGTCAGGTCCATCATGAGGAAAAATTCCCCTGTTGTGGTTATGGGTATGTCAGAGCATTGTTTCTCAGCACTCATACCCCTTTAATACCGGATACTGGCATGTATACGCCTCCTATAAATAGAAGTATACGCTCTACTAAGGTTGTTAAAATTGCAGATACTTTGAAACTCTAAAGAAACTGTAGATCTTCATTGAACGTTGCCAACACTTTCGTGCGACTTAGACAGTGTGTCTGAGGTTTCCTGCAATTTTTGGTAATTAAAAACAAGTAGCATATATTGGGTGCCTGGGACTTCTATTGAATTTGTATCAATAACGCTGAATTTTTACTAGTATCGCATTGAAGTTTAAAAAATGTTGCTGTAAGGTGAAGTGATGAGTAAACATGGCAGAGCAGAATGCATATCACAGCAGAATTACACTTCTTATTAAACACATTGACCAAGCAGAGAGTAGGGCTGGGCGATATGGACCAAAACTCATATCTTGATATTGATTAGCTGAATGGCGATACTCGATATATATGGATATGTATTTTATTAACAGTGAAAACACATGGAAAAATAAACTACGTGTTTGTGAATTTAAAAAGTAATATTATAAAATAAAAATGTTCCTTAAATACAATAAAAGAGAGAGAGAGAGGAGGAGCAGGGTTAAGAGGGACAGACAGTCAGTCATCATCAGTGAAATGAGAAAAAGGTGACCTGACACCTCTGTAACGTTATTTTAATGCAACTTAAACTATATCCATATTAACAATATTGTCTTACTCTATATCTTGTTTGAAAATATATCGATATATCTTTAAAACTCGATATATTTCCCAGCCCTAGCAGAGAGTAAATCATTCTTACAGTGTGTCTGTCTGCAAAGGAAGAACAACCCCCCCACTCTATTATTCACAAACACGCAATGGATTTAAGCGGGGTAGAAAAATCAAGGAATATGCAAAGAATGTGATTATGAAGTTCATCACAAACTATCATTTTTAGATTTATTGATTTTTTTGGCTTTCAGAGAATCACCGTAAATATCCAGTAGAAGAATACGTTATAGACGAGTGAACTGGTTCTCAGTCCAGAGCTCTGTTGGTTTATGGGTGGGGGGAGTACTCGGCCACGTTTTTGAGTGGCGGTGTTGGTTTTGGGGGGCTCGTATGGTACAGGGTTCTTCATGCAACGTATGTGCTGCATCCAGAGAAGCTCCACAATGGAGAATGTGCTGACAGCCAGAAAACCACGGCGGTAGTGATTGCCGCTGGTGCTTTGTGAGTGTGGCAGAAGGGGGGGAGAAAAATGTGTCCTGGTTAGAGAGAGGGGGGGAGGGTGGAGCGCCTAGCGTCGGGAGTGTGTTGGGGGGGGGAGGTTCTCAATACTGCATTTCACCCCTCCTCCTCCTCCTCCGCCTCCTTCGTCACTGTGACGATTAAGGTCATTGGACTTCTGTGTGTTTATATTTTGACAAGCTACATTTATAGCACTTCCTGGATCCCTGACACCAAAATGTTCACTGGAGAACCCAGAGGTTTGTTTCCTCCTGGCATGTGAAGTCCATAACCCAGGGACTGGAGATCTGACAACAATGAATCAGTTAGATTTCACTCATTAGTTTGAGAGAACTAGATTTTCTTTGGGAAGCTGACAAAACAAGACATTTAGGATGCTCAGCCGTGTTTGGATGGGCAGCAATATTCTGTTGTTAATAGTCTGACTAAGCCATGTAGACGGGATCGAAATTAATTTGGACTCGGGGGCCAAGATGGCAGGTAGATATAAAAAATTACCAGCCAAGCACATTTTTTTTCACCAGCAGCTCACCTCTGAGATGCTCCGACATGCAGACAGCAGAGGAGCTGAAGAGAGAAGCAGCAGAATAAAACTCTGCACATTTTTATTGATGGCAATTACTGTTTGAACATTTAACCGCCATGAGGCCGATAGCGATCTGAAATTCTCGCCTAACAGATAGTCAACCAGCATTATGCACTTTAGGGTGTTAATTTCTGACACTGCATGTAGGCAACATAACCCCCCCCCCATTAACGTGTGATGTGGAGTATTCTGATTGTAGTGGCATTATTGTAGACATGTTAAGACCGAAATCGCACGATAATGTTTTCACTGCATTTTGCGGCACATACGGCAGCTGCCGACCGCTTGACGACGAATGCCCCGAGTGTGTTTGAGAAATCAATATGGCTGGTGTGAAGAAGATACTCTCTGGGGGGGGGGGGAGAAAACGGTTGTCATGTTAAAGGTTTTAAGGGAAAAAGGCAGAATAAAGTCATTGATGGAAGAAAACATTGAAATGTTTTCATATTCAAGAAGGTCGCAGAATGACGGGGAGGGCTGTGTTCACTTAACAGACGTCTACAACAACACCACGAGTGGCTGCTGTCATTGACTTTTTCATATTATCTTAGAATGGACAGAAATACTAATGAAACACTCACAAAGGTGAACAGTAGCATCATGCAGGTCATGGAGTCAAAATTCAGAGGTAACTTGACTGAAACTGAATATTCAACTTAATCAGAGTCTCATTGGTCAACATTCAGATTATTACTGTCCATGTAATGTAGCGTCTGACACATTTTTTAGTTCCAGTAACTACTGTAATCGATGAATCAAAAACTCGGCCTTGAGTCCGACTAGCCCAGATTTTCAGGACTTGTGACTCGACTCGTACTCGTGCACTAATGTCTCTGACTTTGACTCGAGCATTTACAGCATTTGGACTCCAAAGACAGAGACGAGAACTTCAACGTATTAAAGCACAAGACTGTGTGTTTATGTTTTAGTGAGTTAAAATTCTGATTAATAACGGGTGGCTTGCAGAAATATTAGAGTTTATTACCCGCCGCAACAGAAACGATCAGTGCATCTCCCTGAGAGCGGCACAGAGATGCATCTTCATTCATAATTTAGATATAAAGGATCATTCAGATTCTTATACTAACATTGAAATCCTTTTTCTACATATCCAGGTAGACACAGTCGATCTTATTCTCCCACACTCCTCCTCTCTCTGTGATCTTTCTCAGCAGCTTTTTCTCTCCTTTGTGATCAGGAAACTGCTACTCCCCTTTCAGTGTTTTGACGCTGTCTACAATGAACATACATTCCTCTCTCTGTAGCAGAGAGTATGCATCTCCTCAAGATCATTATCCAGTTCACCCTGAGGGACGTCACACCTGGCATCTCCTCCCTGCAGTGTATCTGTTGTCCACCCACCTTTTTTTAGGTTAATCATGGGCGTGCTCGGAGTAATTTGTGCAGACGACGGTGCGACACACTTTGCCCTGCCGGTGTTGTTCTCAGATGAGTCTCCACAGGGATTCAAGGATGCAAATAAGTTGCCTGTGAATTGGTCTGATGCATCAGGCATGGGCATGCTCAGAGGTGTTGCAGTGTTTTAACATGTAAGAAGAGAGCGTGTTTGTTTGTGTGGAAAGAAGGATCGAGTCTGTGGAATAGCAATAGGAGACGTTATTAACAGGTAGCACTGCAGATGTCTTTGCAGCAGTGCCCTTGATTCTGTATTGCAGAGAACGAGCCATAGATTTCTTAATGTTGTGGCTGAGCTGAAGGAATGAGTCAAGGCGTCTTTGATTGCAAGGATTGGAGGGCTGATGTCTGCATCAAAGCCACAGTAACTCTCCTTCCGCTCAGCTCCACAATAAGACAACATGCCTGCTTGGATTATTGGTTATCCCAGTGTCTGCCGCACTGTTCCCTGACCCAGCCCCACCCCCTCAAACACCCCGTGGCCTGTAGATTGCTTTTAAAGTCCGTCTGTTCCTCTCCGGCCTGCCAGAGCTTCCCGGTCCTTGTTGTCCCTCTTCTCTTCCTCCCCCTTTCCTTCCCCTCTCCGTCTCATCTCCCACTCCCAGCAGTAGCATTTCTCCACTTCCTTCCATCCTGGTGGAGCTCTGAAAATTGAAAACAGAGTCGGTGTGGGGAGGAGAACGAGCAGAGGAGTGCAAGGTCTATCTTTGTCTGCCATCTGAGTCATTTTTTTTTTTTTTTTTTTTTTCATTGTTTAACCGTGGTCACTGCTGCTGCTGACTGTATTTTAATGAAACAGCGCCCTCTGTGGTTGCTGCTGCACGGTGCAGGAGCAGACATTTTCCTCTCATGTCTGCCTTTGAAATGCCCATTCTGTGTGTCATACTGGTAAAATGGAGTACTCTGCTCTCGGCTGGTATTCATTCTGTGCCATGAAATAAATCAGACGAATGAAACTCCCCTGTTCATATACGTCCTCCTCAGTATGGACACACGCCTGATCCTGTTTTTGATAAGAATTCTCTCCCAGGGTGTCCTCGGTTACAGTGAGATTTGTTTAATGCTGATTCACTGACCTCTGCAGTCTGACGGGGGAAATGCTTTAAGGCTCACAGCATATTGTGATGTAATGATATGTTAGTGTTTGGATTTTAATGGATCATGTTGTAAAAGGACAGACCAGGCATGGACAGTACTTGTCTGTGTGCTACTTAGTACTGATCATTTTCCTAAATGGGTAATTTAATTTGATTTAAATTGACTCAGTAAGGGTGCAGCTGGTCATTTTCTTATGTGCAGTTTCTTTAAAATCATCAAAAGTGATTAATAATGTCGATCCAGACGGACAAACAAAAGGAGATGTCTTTAAAGGTGTTATTTTAAACAGCAGCAGGCTTAATACAACAACTTATATTTTAAAATAACTAAGACCAATGATGCATTTATTGATAAAAGAGTTAGCTGTTTGCTTCTCTCAGCTCCGTCTAGAACACATAAATCACTACATATGTATTCACTTTTCCTCCATGGGGTCAAATTGCTTGTGACTCTTCAAACCTATCATCCACTGAGGACTTCAGCTGCGTGTTGGTGATTTGTTTTATCGCCCTCAGTTGAAACAGAATCTCATCAGTTCACCTTTTTAAAACAAGCATGTTTACCTTTTTTTTATTTTTTTGACCCTCAGATGGAAGCGTGCAGAGAGTCGCTACACGGTGGAGAGAGCGGCCATCATCAGTCACTGGAACTGGCTCCAGGCTCACATCTCAGACCTGGAGTACCGCATCCGACAGCAGACCGACATCTACAGACAGATCCGAGCCAGCAAGGTAAGTCGTTCTCTCTGATGTTGTTGTTGTTTTTGAGAGACGTGTCTGTTTGTGGGTTTCATTACCGTAAATACTTTCCCAGCCACACAGATACGTCTGATCAGATCAGCACAAATAATCGTTACATAGATTATTGGGGGTGGAGGGTTAACACTCAGCTCTTGGTTCTGCAGGGCTCAGTAGAGTTGGGAGGTGTTTCCCCCGGTGTGGTGTCTGCAGGTGGGACAGAGGTGAAGACGGAGCCTCAGGTAAGCAGAGGAAGCAGTGTTCCCTTACAGCTATGTCTTGATCACATCCTCAGCCTCTCAGCAGTTTGACGTTTTTTCTAAATGGCTCTAAAATCCAAAATGTCAAACTGTGTTCAGCATCTTTTGCTTTTTGTTTGATCTTTTGTAGGTAATGATTGTTAGAAGTTCAGTGTATGAAGTTCAGAGTAAACATCAGATTGAAGCAGCCGTCTTTCTGCCCTCTGTGTGTGTTTGATGTTAGATTAGAAGGTCGACGTGAGCTGTGTATTAATGGGTTTATTCACAGCTACCCGATAATCAATAAAAAACATTTTCAGCTGGTTTGTTCTCTTCACAGCATCTGTTAGATAGACGGTAAATGTCCAAAGGAAATGATTTTTTTGTACGTCTCTGAGCTCTAAAATGATTTAGACAGACGAGCTGCGTGTAATAAACTCCTTCAACGTTCGTCTCCAAATAATTGTCAAATGATTTATCACAGGACGAGCCTGTCAGTCCGGATGAGCTGGAGTCGTTTTAATACATGTTTGTTAAACCAGAACAACTGCCAGAGACGCCTCTACTCTGAAGGATTTGTTCTGATCCATGGCCCAAACATGTTTTGTTTTTTTTGTAATCCAGTTTGATTTTGTAAAAGAAAATAAACCAAATAATCCTGATGTGATCATCAATCATCAATGACGTGCTACAACAAAGATGATAATATGTCAGATGTTGCACTGATGACACTGAATCCTTCATAATGAAGTTGATGTATTTATTCTGACTGATGTTAGCAGTGTGGGTCGTTTTGTGTCCATTTGAACACATGCATATGCTGAAGGTTAGTGCGGCCTGTACACACAAATCTGATCACTTGAAAAGATGCTGCACAGGTCCGTCCTAAGATCTGATCTGCTTTTCATGCCGTCTGAACAAAGTAGTTTACGTTAGGGCAGCTGTTTTAAATGATTCATACTCTGTGAAACATAGGGGAAGTTTAGTGTTTCAACAAAGATATGCTTTTGGTGTTTAAATAAATATAATCCACTGCCTTAAAGGTGACATATTCTCCTCCTTTTCAACCAGTTTAAATAAGTTTCAGAGCTCCTCAAAACGTGTGTGTGTTTGTTGTTCTAAATCCACTCTGATCCTGTATTTGATCATGTGTATAAATCCCTCTATTTCAGCCCTGCTCAGAACAGGCTGTTTCTGTGTCTGTACCTTTAAATATGTAAATGAGCTGTGTCTGACCACGCCCCCTCTCTGGAAGGGCTTGGGTGTACTTGGTGCTTTCTCACTCCATGTCCTATTGTTTACGGTGAGAAGGCAGACTCAGAGGGCAGAACAAACACCTAGCTGTGGGAGTGTCCCCCACCTGGGGGAGGAGCTACAGCCCTTTGTGATGTCACGAAGGGAGAATCTCCAAACGGCCTGTTTGAGCACACATTTTCTGAAAAGTGGAGCAGACAAAAGACAGAGAGGATGGACTTTTCTCATCATTGGGGGGTTGTAGACAGACTAAAGACACATGTTAGAGTTAGAGAAACATGGAGAAGAGGATTTTCTGTGACCTTTAAGTGGAGATTTGTTAACATGACTCAAAACCAAACCTGTCAAGTGTTGACACCTCCGGGGGTGAGGGTCAGATCAAGGACATTTGGTTTCTATGTTATGTCTGTAAGCTTGTGAAGACGCTCTGAGTCAGACGTCTTTGTGACAGTGCAGAATAGGTTTTAGTTTTTGGGGGGAGCCCAGCACTCCTCACAAACCATGTTTGAATAATTTAAGGTCCAGAGGAGCGGGATGATTCAGTTTAGTCTATTATGTCCTTTCTTTAAATATCCCGCCTTGTGTCGAGTGCTGTCAGTCGTCTATGTTTCTGTGAAGTGCTTTCTCACCGGCTTTGTCTCGTCTGTCTGTGCAGGATGTTGCTTCAGAACGGCTGGAGCACACAGGCGCCGCCCACATCATCAACACCGAGTCCGGCTCCTGGAAAGGTCAAAACACACAGCCTGTTAACGGCGTCCTCAGCAGGTATGATGATGATGATGATTACCTCATTTTGTTTCCCAGAAAGGACGCTGCTTTCTGAGAAAAACCCCAACAGGGCAGTTCTTGAACATGATCGATTACAAATGTGAGAAGCTGACGTTGTTTGCAGCAGCAATGATTAGTCGCTTAATCAAAGAGAATGTTTCTATTTTTATAATCGCTTGAGTCGTTTTTAAGAATCTGCCTTCACAAAAACAAAGATTTAATGCCCCCCCATGTTCACTTTCATGCTAATCTAAACATGTTGTTAAGGGCTGCTGGTCACATAACACAAGATAAGATGAACTTTATCTGCCTTTATGAGCATTATTTAACTCGTAAAATGAATAAATCATGTTACTGATTCTGCTGCCTGAGTCCTGTTGTGTTGGTATTGAATTTGAAGGTGTAAAGTCTGTGACCTTAATTCTCTCTGTTGGTTGTCCTTGTGACAGGATGGCAGAGAGTGCAGACACAAAGCACCAGCAGCCGTCGGCCTACGACAGCACGTGTGTGTCTGCGCGCACACGACCGCTCGTCAGCTGTCGACGACGGCGGCTCATGCAGCCCAACACTGTACCCAACCTCAACGGCAAGGTGAGTCTCAAGAGCCCGGCCGCCACATGATCACAAACTGTGTGGGAAAGAAAAATCAACACAGTGGTTAAGTTGGTATGAACGATTCGATGCTGAGAATTGTGTTGAATTGCTCGGAAGATGTTAAATGTGAAGTTGCAGAGCGAAAGAACAAGTGTGCTTTTATTCTGAAAGGAATCGTTTGTTTTATAGCTGCTGCTGTATGCTTTTTATTTTGAAAGAAAACATGTTTTAAAGGTCCCATATTCTGATTTTTCTGGTTTTATCTGCTCTTTAGTGTGTTTTCCAAGTGTCCTGTGCATGTTTAGTCACATCTATGTGCAAAAATTCAAAGTCCGCGGAAACGCAGCTTCTCCTACGTCCTCCTGTTAGCTGTAGCATTAGCTGCATGTAACGCTCGGTTCTAGCCCCCCTCGATAAAAATGTGTCAGTGTGACGTCTTGTCAGTGTGAGATCACTGATCTAAGCCCATTGGCTCGTTGTGGCCCTGCAGCTCATGTTGCACGCCCGTTAACTTCTGTAGCACGCCCACCATATGCCGTAGCCTGCGGTAGCACAGTAATGCTAAGGTGCTAATGTTTTTGCTCCCCTCTGAGCCAAAGTGGCTGCATTCCCAATATGGTAAAAGGGGCGGGACATTTCCGAGAACCGTGCTGAGCAACTGACCAATTACGGCAGAGCCGACAGGCCGACCAATCAGATCAGACTTGGCACACGTGGGGACTCTGAACGTGGGCACTTCAGAGCCTTAGAGAGAGAGTCAGAAGAGAGCCGGTGCATGGAGCGGCAGTTCATGAAAACAGACACTTTTTAGAACTTTAGTTATTGTGAACATACTTTAGTAGGTACATAGATTAAATATATGAACCCCAAGAAGGGCAGAATATAACCTCTTTAAAGCTGCTGCCTGCTTTTATTTTGAAATAAACGGTGTGCTTTAAAGCTGCTGCTGCTGTCACTGATTATTCTCTCGTTGTGTAACTTAGCAGATGAATAAACAAGAGATCTGTAACTTTATTATGAAAAACTGGGGCAAACTACAAAGATGAGAAATCACCCTCGTGACTACTCACAAGTTTTAGTGGGAAAAAAATAGACACACACACATATTAACAGCTAAGGCTTCTGTGAGACCAAAATCAAATGTTTAATAGACCGAGAGAACTGTAAACAACAGTTAACGTTAGCCTTCATCTTTAGCATTTAGAGTTTCAGGACTGGCTCGCTGTGGTGTCGCTGTTTTGGTGTTCATGCTTTCATCTCAGTAATATGTGTAGAAACGTGTCCGAGCCGGTGTCTGTCAAACAGAACATTTTGATCTGTAACTGAGCATTGTCAGTCAGACGGACGTGACCATCATAATCTGAAAGTATCGACCATGTGCAGCAGCAGCGTCGCTCAGATTGGTTTATGTGTAGTGCTGCCCTCGTTGTAATCTCCTTTGTCGTTTATTTCTCCAAATAAGAACGCCCACAATTTACATAATCCTCTGCAAGCTCATAAACAGTTTGAAATTATGATATCCAAAAGTCCCCGACGCCGGTAGCCTAGTGGTTAGTGCGCGAACCCCTCGTACAGAGGCTAAAGTCCTCCAAAGAGGACGGCTTAAATTTGAATTATTTTTAAAATGTATTAGATGAGGACATTACACACTAGGCCCCGTGTCCAGCTAGTGTTTTAATTCCAGACAGAAAAGCGCTGGCTGTAAGCGCTTGCATGACGTGTTTATGCGCTGTAAGGAAGAGCGCTGCACGTCCATCCTGTCTCCATGACAACAGCCGCTGTATGACCGACACGGCTCCATTACTTAACTGTATGTTTTATATTTGAGATCATTTTACCCGATCGTACACGGAGCAAAGACATTGTGGGTACAAGATATGAAAAATATTGCCCCTTCTGAAAAGATTTTAAAAAACAATGCGCTCAGAGCAGCCACCCTAAAAAGGTGATACGCTCGAGAAAACCGACGCTGGGCGCTGTGCTTTTTGTCCAGATGTCCTCCTACTGCTGCAAACGCTCTCTGCTTATTAAAAACAATTGAGTAAAAACGCTGGGTGGACACATGGCCTAAGGGTAAAGCATCACAAGTAAATATGCTACTATTAGCATAACAGCTAAATTGAATCCTCAGCACTAGATCAGGTACTGACAAAAATATATTTAAAAAAAATTCTAATAGGACGGTCGACAAGACGATGCGTATAAAAGCTTCCAAACAGTTTAACATGCAAGATGGACACACTCATAACAATGACACACTAACAGATGTAGTAGATCAGTGAAGAAAGTCCTTTGGGGTGAAACATCGTCCCTGTGACATTCATGAAGTATCTTTCTGTCTGTGTTGTGTTAACTGCTGTTACCTCAGTCATGACGTTAGAGCCTTTACATGGAGCTGACTCACTGAACTCCTGAGGCGCTCCGCTCCTCTTAGAATATATCAGAAACACTTTGTCCTGCTCTGAGTAATGCAGCATGAGCTCCATACTCATGTCAACAACATAAAGGTTGAGTTTTGAGTGATCACAGCTTGATATACGGTTTCCCCCTCATGCTCTTTCAGGCCCCGAGGAGCAGCTGTATCCAGTGTAACTGCAGGGTCAACCCCAGCTGTGTGATGTGCGGTGGCTGGCCCACCCCCAGAGAGGACCCCCAGTACGAGCTGCCCACCCTGGAGCGCCTGTCAAGACTGGATCTTGGCGTCCACCCCATCCTCTCCTTCCCCGACGGTCAGTGTTCAGCCAGCACCTCGCTCGGTTTACGCCAGCCGTTTCCTTCCAGAGAGGAAGACGAGGAAGACAAACAAGGAGTGGCAGGGGAGATACGTCTCCCCAGGAAGTTCTTAGAAAACATTTTCAACCATTTACACAATCTAGTCCATCAGTAGAGTGCGTCATGTGACCCGGAAACTCCTCTCTGCTTTCTCCTCACTGATTTAAGCTTCTTATTTTTCTTCATTTTTGTGATTAGAAAGGAAATGGAAAAACCACATTTGTATTCTCCATAATTGAGACTGAGTAGTATTTACAGCAACACATTTGGCATTAGCTCTTGTAGTAGATTGCCCTTGGCTTCTTATAAATGCTGCATGTGATTGTGAATCGCTAATGTCGAGCTACAGATGGTGAATCTGAAGTATCTGGCTCGACACTGCTCTCTCTTATTTTGTGTTGTTGTTGTTGTTGTAATCTCCTCTTTGTTTCCTCCCCCTCAGACGTTTGTACCGGCCTCCGTCTGCAGCAGGTGATGAAGAGTCAGTGGCAGACGAAGTCGCTGGAGAGGAGCAAACCACTGAAGAAGCTCTCGCTCAAACACAAGCTGTCCTCGTCCAAAGAGAAGCACAAGTTCACCAACTCACTCATGGCAGTCAGTAAGTACAAATGCGTCTACTCGGGGAGGCTTTTTGAGCCTCCTTTAAGCCCGTCAACATTTTATATTCCAGTCCCTTAATGTCAGACTTTGGTGTGGACACTTGAGTGTTTTAAGGAGGATTCAGTAGAAATGTTTTGCTGCAGCTTTGTAAACACAACATTCAAACTGAGCCCCTCCTCCTGGGCCACCAGAAGCGCGCGCCCCCTGCAGGACTATGCGTGTATGTTCACTGCCTGTAACTACACTGCAAGCTACCTGAGAATATCACATTTGTTGTACATACGGAAGTAAGATGATCAGATTGAGTGGTCTGTCAGAAAACTGAGATTAAGTTGGAGAAAAAAGCAGAATTAAAATAAATCAATAAAAAAGTCATCACAGTTGAGTGTTTGTTATTAATGTTGATAATGATGATAAAATAATCGTAGATTCTCTTCTCCCCTCCTCTTCTTGTCACTTTATTTCTTGGCTGTTTATTAAATTCCAGCTGTTTTAATTTCACAAAACAGTTTGTTCCTGTAAGCGTTTATTTCTCAACAGCAGGGGGCAGAAGCTGCTGTGAGGCTGTCTGTTGTCTCTCAGCCTCAGTAGAAGCAGCAGACTTTATTCTTAACTTCATAATCTCATGAATGTCGGAGCTTGCACCACTATCAAAATGCAGTCCCTAAAATAAAATAGAAAACATGATATATTTATGGTGAAAACTTGTGTGACTCCTCTGTACAATAGTCATAATAATGGTTCTTGTTGCCTTTCAGGACTGGGTCACTATAAGAACCGTGCTGACAAGCAGAGGGCAGTAGACAGCAGCGTGGGCAGCAGCAGCGCCGCTCTGAGCGCGGCCCGCCTCGAGGGCCAGGCTGTGTGTAAGACGGAGCGGCTGCAGGGCCTCTCCACCCCGCTGGGGCCCTACGACAAGAACTACAGTCGCAAGAGGTTAAGAGAGCACTCTCTGGACCGGACTGACAGTGAGTGTTTTCATGAGCCGAGCTCTGGTTTCAAAACATTCATTCATTTGTTTATTTATGATTTGTTTGATAGAGACAGGTAGAGTATACATGGACAAACTGAAAACAGCCATCCAATGTAAGATTCATAGTGTTTGTAGCGGATGCTGATTTGCAGCAGAAGGACTTTTTGTGTAAAGATTGAGACAAAGAGATGAGTAAACTGGGTACAGCAACCATCTGAAAGTCCTTGCAGTGTGATGTAGGAGCTAAATATGTCTACTGTCCTCCAGCCTCCCCTAAACTGTTCCTGGAGTCGAGCAGCCCCTGCCCCTCTCTGGCCAACATGCACTCGTCCCTCCACAGCCCCCTCACGCGTCAGCTGTCCACGTCTTCAGAGAACTCCACGCCGCTGGGCCCCGGCAGCCAGAGCGTCCCCAACACACCTGTAAGGACACGCTGGAAACCAAAGCTGCTTTCTCTGTTTTTTTATATTGGCTTGAAGGTCTCATGGGGATTGGGGTTGTCAAAGTAATGGATACTTTGATTTTTAAAAACGTTACCTCATCAAAACTAACGGTAAAGTATCAAAATAACAAATAAAAACAACAGATCTTAAAGCAAGCAAAAGGTAGAAGCTGTGTATTCACAGGTCGGCTAACGGGGACATTTCTTCAGTCCTTCAGGATGCAGAGGGTTCGATTCTGTCTACTGCAGACGGAGAGCAACTTTAACACTCAACACAGTGTGCAATTTTTGGTGATAAAAAAACAAGATATTTCTCGTGAAGAGGAAACTCTGACTTATTTTTCTGACTTTAAAATCAGAACAGGTATCCATATCTTTTGATTTTATTCTAGTTCCATATCCAAGTTTTAAATTCTAGTTCTGTGACGACCCTCACTGGGACAACATGTCAGTGAGTCAGAATGACGGTTTAGAGTCGCTGATCCAAACCTGACCTGTCAGTTTAATCTCAAACTTTACATCTAAGCTCTTCGACATGTTTTATTTTAGTTCCTTTGTTCTGTTAAAACGTTTAGACGTGCCTGACTATGATCGTTACAGCCTCGAAGGTAAAATATGAAACCTGACATCTGAAGAAGAACAATGTGAGGACTTAATAAGATGAGCTGTAGATGTTAGAAAAGTCGCCGCCCTCGTTAACATGCAGGCCCGTGATAGTGAGGACGTTTACTAACTGAAACTCAACTGAAACTTTCTCGGCGTCGTGGTTTATTTTGTTTTTCTGCAGCTGCAGAGACAGGAAGTGTGAGGAAACGCAAAGCTGTGTAGTTTAACAGTTAGTGTTGAATCTGTGTGAGGAAATGTTGAGTTAAACGAAGACAGATATCAGTGTTTAACATTTCACCACAAAGTCCGACCTTAAAAGTCATAAAATCACTTCAGATTTCTGCGTTGTTACTAAACAAAAACTGAGCAAACATCTGATGGCGTTGAGTAGAAAACAGATATTTACACATATTTACATTTATTAATAAGTATGTTGACGCTTGTCCTCTCTCGAGTTTCCATTGTATTGTTGAATGAATCCTCCATGCTGACTCCATCACTCGTCCCTGTCCTCCAGCAGCAGCCAATCAAGAGGAGGCGAGGTGAAAGCTCCTTCGACATCAACAACATCGTGATCCCCATGTCTGTGGCCGCCACCACCCGAGTGGAGAAGCTGCAGTACAAAGAGATCCTCACCCCGAGGTAAACACACGGGTCGGCTCAGGACGCCACGCCTCACCATCATCGTGTTTGTCCCCCGCGGTCTGTCGGCTCTGACGCACGGGCCGCTCTATTATTATTATTCTTATGTTATTTTGTTTCCCTGTTCTCACTTTTTTTTATTTCTGTGTGTACAGTTGGCGATCAGTGGACATTTTCTCTCAGCCAATCACTGAAGACGAGAATGAACGAGAGGTCAGTGTTCACCTTCACTTGTTCTAATGAGTTTATGTTATTAGTCTGATTAGATACTGTCATCACGGGCACACGCTGTACGGTTTTTACAAGTCATCAGTTTTGATTTGATGAAGGATAAGAGTTATTCACAATAAGGCGTGTAGCTGACATGATTGACAGGTGGGCGCGGTGTAACGGTTCATCAGGAACCCGCCTCAGCTCCAGCTCTCAGCCTGTCGTTAGGTTTACTGAAAGTTAGACTGAGACAGCATTTCCAACATGGCGGCTGCTGCTGATGGGACTCCAGCGCCCCCCTGCAGGAACAGACGGGTGATGTCACTCAGGCTCCGCCCATTAATCAGAATCAGAATCAGGTTTATTGCCAAGTACATTTACACTTACAAGGAATTTGACTTGGTGTATTGGTGCTAAACAATTAACAAGGAAATAAAGCAGAACTAGCAACAACTTAAATAATACAGAATAAGAAGATATTACAAGATATAAAATAGAATTTAAAAATATAAAGATAAAAAACACAAAAGGTGCAATGTAGGAGCTGTGCAGCGGACTACGAGGGAAAAAAATAATAATATTAACAGTATGTAAATTCAGACAGAGTGCAGTGCCTGCAATAATTTTTTTATCTAAAAACACAAAGATGCCCAACGTTGCACGCCTAGGGCTTCTATTTTTGTTGCCATGGTATCAAGCAGGTCTTGAGATATATATATTTTTTTAATTTTGGTGTTGTGACAAACCTGGTCTGATCCATGTTTGCACATCAGTCAGTCGTAGATGTGTTTTACAACATAAGTGTAATAATTCACTGTTTAGTTATAATGAGAGATATTAACACATTTACACTGACAGTGAATTAACAGTGACACCTGGTGGTCAAAGGCGATGCAGGTCCAGGTGTCATTAATGGGATAAGTTGCCGATGTCTGACAGTCATTCATAGTTCAGCCTACTACATTTGTACCATCATGTTTTAATAACCCCCCTTTGACCTTCATGTGACCTCACACACAAGACTGGATCCAGAACTAAATTCTATAATATAAACATCTGTTGTGGTGTGAAGCGGGTTTCCTGATGGCGTTTTGTTTGTTTGTTTGTAGGTGGAGGACCTGACAGACGCAGCCTTCACTCAGCACCATCAGCCCTACGAGGACCAGGAGCGTTCCCGTTGGACTTGGATGGCTCTGGCTCCCGCTAAGAGGAGGGGCAGCAGGTGAGTCCGGCCCCCCCTCGGGTCTCACTCACACTGTAACACACTCGTCTCTGATCGTAGGTTTTGACTCTGGACTGTGTGTCGTCTCTCAGGTCGTATAAGTCGGTGGACGGGCGGACCACGCCGCTGCTGTGCGGGACAAACCCTCCGACCCCTCAGCCTGCGTCCCCTGACCCGGGTCACTGCCCCATGCTGCACGATTACAGCTACATGCCGTCGCCCATGAGCCCGCCCAGCCCGGACACCACCTCCAACCCCCACACGCCCTGCTCCCGAGACTCCCACCGGCTTCTGTCCAGTGAGGACACTCGCTGCTCCACGCCCGACTTCACCTTTGAGGAGCGGGTACGTACTGGGACGAGGACTGTAGTCTTTAAACTGGTCCCATTATAAAATAAAACCATATTTAACGCGCTGTGTCGTCTTGTGTTCTGCAGACGGTAGCACCGTGGGAGCGCCGCAGCTTCCCCCTGCCAGAGGACCCGGAGCCTGAGCCCGAGCCGGAGAGTGACCACATGAGGCCCAGAATGCGCAGCATCTCAGGTTGCCGAGTGACGGCCTACGGACGGCTGGACTCGGACGACACGGAGCCGCCTTGTGGTGATGAAGACATCGGCGGCGGCGGCAGCCTCGCCCCCAAACACAAGGCCTCCACCCACCGATGAATGACTGACAGGCTGAGGCCCCGCCCCTCGCCCCGCCCCCCCTCCACAGCTCCTCTCTGGCATTAACAAGCAGAACCTCAAAAGCAGAATAAGATATTAAATGGGTTCCTGTTGTTTGATATTCAAACATCAGTCTAATACTTTCACAGTTTTTAGTGAACATTATGGAGATAGAAGCCTTTCCCTACACTTGTTTTTGTCACAGGAAAAAAAAGGATAAATGTAAAAAAAAAAAAAAGTATAAAACAACACGTTACAAAAAATGTTTTCTGTAGTAGGCTAAACAATGTACATGGGGGCTTAGTGGTGTTTCATATGTCGCGTGTACACTTGTAGCGCACTATGTAGCGGACTCCTCAAAATATGGCCAAAGGGTGTTTTTCTATTGACTAGTTTGCTTGTAATTCCCATGTACATTTTTAGTGGAGTGACAAATAACAAAACAAGAAAAAATACCCCCCCCCTCTCCTCCTCCTCCTCCTCCTCATCCAAATAAACAGGTACATTTGAGATGTGGTTCCTTCTTCTCCCTCTAGAGGTCGCCTGAAATCACCAGAGCACTTCTCCAAACTGCCAAGTCTGGTTTTGTTGGTTTTGCTTTTTCTTTGTTTGTTTTTCATTCCTGACATGTTTTATTTGTGTCTCTTCTGTCTGTTCCAGCGTAACACATAATTTTGTGTGTTTGTTTTTTCTTTTTTCTTTTTAAATAGTGAAATCATTCCTTTTCAGTCTCTTTCTGAGAGTGTCCAGCCCCCCCCCCCCGGTGAACTCTCTTTACCCTCGGTTCTGTTTTAAAGAGGGTGACGGCACAGAGAGGACCGGGGGCGACATTTTGAGCACTTGCCCTTCAAAGAAAGCGCTGATGCATGCTGGGAAAACATGCTAATGCTAGTCTTATTATCACAGCAGCACATGGATGGAGTTCCCCTTACTGAATGAACTCGCAGGTTAACAGGATTATAACACAACCTTCTCCTCCCCCCCTTAGCGTACAGTCTCTGCTGTATTTAAAGGAGTAAAACGTGTGGAATAATAAAACAAAATACCCCTCCTCTCGCCCTCTACTCCTCTTCTTCTGGTTCGGCTTGACAAACTGTTCTCGTGCAAACATCACAAATGTAGCAGCTCTCAGCTAGAATCCACCCCGAGCTCAGGTTTTCAACGTAAGGGAATATGTTCTGCTGTTTGATAGTTTCACTCTCAGATTGATCAACATGGATTTTCTTTTTCCCCCCTCCTCTTCCTCCTCCTCCTCCTCCTCATACACAGACTCAAACATCATAACCACACTCTCCGCCCCCCCCCCCTCCCCCCCTTCTTAAGTAACTAATTGCTATGCAAAAAAAATCTATGGTTGTTTTCATTTTACACCTCCTTTTTATGCCACAGCCATTCAATCACTGTTTTTTTTCTTTTGTAGTTAAGATGTCAATGTACCTGTTCGATTGTTGCAGCAGTTAACCTAATCAAAAAGCAGAATTGTTTTTTCTTTTTTGTAAATAGTACCATTAAAACATTTATGTTTAACTTGGCGGAGCTGGTCTGGCCTCGAGTCCTTCAGTGTCCAAACTGTCTCCAATCACTCATCCACTCATCCACCGGGTCACAGCCAGGAGGGCACATTCACACTCTACACACTCCTCCATATCGTTGTGCATCCTGGGAAAGAAACAATTCAGTGCGCGCGCGCGTGCGTGCGTGTGTGTGTGTGTGTGGGCGGGCCTGCAGCAAACATATTTCATTGTTGGGCAATACAAATTAAGAGTGAAACATTGAATCCCTGCTTGTCAGAGTCGTCTTTGATGTCTTCAAAGTGTTTTTAACTGGTCATTAAACAGACTCATATTAATCTTGATGAGTTTTTATGTCCTACAAGATCAAACGAGACCATCAGCAATGACTGACTGTTTTTCATGAAGTGATTTTTAATGTGGGAAACAGCTGGGGGAGTCACTGCTCAATGCCTGAAATATATATTGCATATTACAGGGGCGGCTGTGGTTCAGTTGGTAGAGTTGGTCGTCTCAACTGGAAGGTCGGGGGTTCGATCCCCAGCTCCTGTATCTACATGTCTGATATGTCTTTAGGCAAGTCACCCTGAATTGCTTCGTCTGCTGTGTGTGAATGGGATTAGTTACTTCTGATGGTCACTTTACATATCAGCCTCTACCATCAGTGTGTGAATGTGTAGGTGTGAAAGAGAGTCAGAAGACTAGAAAATAAATAAAGCTCAAGTCCATTTACCATTTATCCTCCTTTACAACCAGTTTAAATAAGTCTCAGAGCTCCTCAAAACATGTTTGTGAAGTTTCTTGTTCTAAATCCACTCTGATCCTGTATTTGATCATGTCTATAAACCCCTCTATTTCAGCCCTGCTCAGAACAGACTGTTTCTGTGTCTGTACCTTTAAATATGTAAATGAGCTGTTTCTGACCACGCCCCCTCTCTGGAAGGGCTTGGGTGTCTCGGTGCTTTCTCGCTCCATGTCCTATTGTTTACGGTGAGAAGGCAGACTCAGAGGGCAGAACAAACACCTAGCTGTGGGCGTGTCACCCACCTGGGGGAGGGGCTACTGCCCTTTGTGATGTCATGAAGGGAAACATTTTCTGAAAAGTGGAGCAGGTAAAAGACGGAGAGGATGGACTTTTCTCATCATTGGGGGGTTTGTAGACGGACTAGAGACACATTGGAGTTAGAGAAACATGGTGAAGTGGATTTAGCAGAATATGTGACCTTTAAAGATGAAGTAATGTTAGCTTGTTTTGGAAATCTAATCACGACAAAAACAAAACGGTGACTTCATAGCATTTATTTTCAAATACACATATACAGCAACAAGTATCATCATAAACCAGTTATTGATAAAATGCACAATAACGAGAACAATCACATTTCCACAACTGTACAGCGTCAGAAAGAACCCAAACAAAAGAACAAAACAAAAGAACAAAAAAAAAGGTGATGAGTTTTGTTACTGCAGAGACTTTCCCGGACACAAACGTTACCGCACACCTTCATCGCCTCTTCTGCAGTGGGATCGACTCCCAGACCCTCACACACACACACACACACACACACACACACACACACATCTCCATCCTGCACACTGAGATGACTGTGCTCTGTCTGAAAAGAATAAGGAAGCATGCAGATAATGTTGCAAGCACGCACTTAAATCCTGTCTGATCGTTAACTTAAAGTATTTGTGATTTATAAAGATTTTATTTTGACACACAGCCGGGAGCAGATTTGGTATATCCCTCAGGATCCAGAGAGCATACACTAACAGGATATACAAAAAGAAAGGGAGGCAACAAGCAGACGAGCTGGCTCTTACATGAGGTGCATGCAAGAAGGTCTTCCACTATATATTCATGGGAGTATTAGTGATGAATATTTATCAACATGAGGACATGTTAGAGCCCCTTCATGCTTTTATTTTTCTAACTTATTGAAAACTTTTTGAATCTGCAGCTTGTTGCATTCATATCGTTGATCAAACACAAGATTCTTTGCGATAAAGTCTGCAGGAACTCCCTCAAACTCTCCTGTTCTGTGGCGTTTCAATAAAAACACATTAAATGGACAAAAGTATGCGGACGACTCTGCAAACTTACTGAACATTTGAGCACCTCTGTTCAGGGATTTTTTCACGATAGCCACTTTTTATTCCAATTAAGGAAACAAGCCTTCAGCACTCATTATAAAAGCTGCCACTAGGGGGAGCAACTTAAAAATCCTGAGTTTTGAAAACTGTTCTCTAAACTATGAATTGACAATTATACACAAGTTTTTTTAATTAGCCTTTCTTGCTACTTAACTTTTGAGCACTTCTGTTCTGTTGTATGCTAGGCCCTTTTGTTCCAATTAACGAAACCAGCATTCAGCACTCATTATAAAAGCCACCACTAGGGGGAGCAGGGTCATAGTTTTTTCCATCTTTAAGGAGGAATCCCTTCTTTTTTTCCCTCTAATTTTCCATCTGTGTACAGGTGTTTTTAAAAGTGATTTTTCTTCTCAATCTTAAACAAATCAAGACAAATTGTGGTTCATTGGTTCGAGTTTTAAACTTATTTAAGTATAGAAAATTGTGATTTTTGTGATCACAGAAGACAGGACACAGGAAAGGACAGCATTAAAACAACAACATATCTCAGACCTGCTCAAATTTAAACGTTTTCCTCACTTCATGGCAATTTTTTTTTTTTAAATCTTCCCTGGCTTCTGAAAATAACTAAATTAAAAGATGAACCCAGGAGAGTCACTAAGACGACATGCATCCCTGTATTTTGTTCTCTCCACTTGTATACGATAACGAGTCATTTCAGTCGTTTTGAAGCTTGTTTCTCGTGATAACGGGATCGTTTTGTGCGATCTTGAAAACAAAACAATATTCTGGTGAAACCTGTTTCTATGGTTTTTTGTGCTTTTGTAACTCTGGTGATAAGAGATGAAGAAGTCGAGATCCCAGGAAAACAACCGGAAATGACTCGTTATCACAGGAAGACAAAGAGAGCGAAATGCTTGGATGCATGTCCGCTTCGGGCTTCCGTAGGAACGAGTCAAAAAAGTTTAGGAACCTCTGTTTAAGTTTTGTGTGTTTCCTGTTTTTAATTTGCCTGAGCGCACAGAATCCCAGTTTGGTGTTGAAGAAGAAGAGCAGCATGGTTTTGGATTAACTGGTTTCCTTGATGCGACTTCAGGTGTCCACATACTTTTGCCCATTTGTTCATGTTGCTGTTTTTCTGAGACCTGAAGATGAAATCTAGCAGCTGACGTGGGTACAGGTGTCATGTGTCTAACTGATGATGAGCTCATCGCTGTACAGTTTCTCTTCTTCATCTTGTCGCGTCCCAAAATCCCTCATCTCAACTTGGCCTTATCAACCCATCCATCCATCCATCCATCAACAACCTTCATCCATCCTTCATCCATCCCTCTCTTTCTCCAGACAGTCGTTCTCTTTCTGGTCAATGAATTTTAAAATACTACTTTTTCTTTTTTCTTTTCTTTTTTAAAGTGAGACTATGTAACTATGTTTGAGTGAAGTAAACACACACTCTTTGTCTTTAGGATTAATTCTAGAATAAGTGTAATGCAGCCTTTGTGTAGTTATATACTCAGAAGTTTCTCTGCTGCAGCCTCACTTCATCTGGTGCATTACTAGCAACTGTTAGTGTCTGCTAGCTAGCATGATGTTAGGTCAATCAAACATTTCTGGGACGTCTTTACACTTGGCTAAACGCTAAGTTGTAGCTTTTGCCTGAAATCAGACGGAACTATCAACTTTTCAGTTTGTTTCTATCTTCAGTTTGACTTCACTGAGCCAATCACGAGCGCAATGAATCCACCTGAAACTGTCGTCGGTTGAAGTAAACATTGATGCATATCCATGCTAACATTTAGCCTCTGTTTTAAGGGAGTGGAGCAAATAAAAAAACAAACTAAGCCTCCGAGAAGACATGCTAGCTTTATAAAGAAAAAAAATGTCATATCAGTGGCAGCTGTCATTATTCCTCCTTCTCTGTTCTGACACACAGTTAAACAACAAGGTTACGCTCAGTGTGAAAAGTTGTTCATGGCTTTGAGGTATGTGTTTGCCCTGATAGGTGGCTGAGTAAGACGTGTTACACAATCAGAAGAGAAATTTAGATAAACCTCGATGTGTTAAAAAGTGTTTCAAACACCACAAAGTCGCTTTAAATGGAGCGTAACCACAGAAGAAGAAGAACTGTTTTGGTCTCGACTGTGGCGCTTTTTTGGCTCGTATGCAATCATCATGGCCGTCATTAAATCTGATCTGAGGAATATTTGAACAGCTTTTCTTTAAAAGGTTTGAAACGGTTTAAGACCTCTGAAGTATGTTTTTTTTTGTTGTGTCAGAGATTTAATTTTGATTTATTTCATTATGTTTCATCTTGGCTGAACACACCCTGCATTCATGTGGCGTCCGACACATCGGAAGAACGAGTTTCCGGGTTGGAAAATGCACATGAACTCCTACTCAAGTCGGAACAACAACTCCAAAAACTCAAAAACTTGAACCATCCAGAAGAGCACATGACTGCAGCAACACACCTAGCAATGACAACTGCATTTGTCCTGCCCCTGGCACTGATTGGCTAATGGTTACTCCCTCCAGCACTCATTGGTTAACCTCTAAAAGGACAAAACAGTTTTTGCCGGAAAATACCCGACTAATCAGTGAACCATGTGGAGTTGGCTTAGTTAGCTTAGCATATAGCATCATCTAAGAGGCCTATATTTAGCAGAAGTTACGTAGTCTCGCTTTAAGAATAGTTGTTTAAGAATTGCCTTAAACGTTATTCTGGCTACGTTTAATATGCAGGTTAAACACTGTAATCAGTGATGAGCTTCCTTGTCATAATTTGGCCATAAAAGTTAAACTTGAAAGGTTAGTTGTCTTCCTCATATGTCAAAGCTGAAGCGCATTTACAAATAGAGCAGTAACAAAAAATCAAATCAAAATAACACTGACAGTAGCAGGCACAATACAAATGTTTCTTCATATCAAATACATGTCATATATCCACAGAGTACGATTATAAAACTGTGCCCAACACAAACCAAAGTTTCTACTCTAGCCGTTCTGTATTTTTTTTTTTTTTTTTAAATCCAGGTTGCACCCGGGTCACCTACAGAGGTGCCGCACATGTCGGGACTACACAAAGCAAAGACAGCAGCGAGGTCTGTAAGCATTTTTTTTTCCTGCCTTTACGAAAAAAACAAAAAACAAATTGCTACTTTTCTTGAAACAGTCTTCCCCTCACTGTACCCTGTCACTGTTCCTTCTTCAGCGTTTGCACAAACTGGCACCTAACAGTCTGCTTTCCCTCCGTTTGACAAGTTCTAGCTTTAATTAAAAATAAAGAAAACTAAACAGAAGTGGACACCCATCGAAGGGGACATTTAAAACTTCCTAAAGGGTTCACAGTCGATGTTGACAGGAAACCGGGTGTTTGGATGATCCACCGGGATATGCATGAAGAGAATTAGTCAGATTCACAGGGAGAACTTGGCTCTGCTGGGGTGCTTTGACTCTTAAAGGGAAACTTACAAAAGGTAGAAGAGCAAATAAAGACCACAGAGAGAAATTCAATACATGTTGGCCTAAATGTTAATCTGTTTTTTTTCTTTTAAGAACAGTTAGTGAAGGATAAACAGTGATGGGTAGCTAAAAAAGTCCTGTGAACATAATGAGGAAGGCATCACAACTCCTCTAACGTGGACGTGTGGTGGAGGTGGAGTAGGAGGTGGAGGTGGAGGGAGAGGTTGGACAAGGGGAGTAGGAGGAGGAGGAAGAGGAGGAGGAGGTGCATTCACAAGCCTTGTTTGGCCAGGGAGGCGGACACCTGGTCGGCCAACGTGGAGAGCTGCGGGGAGTCGGCCATGTTGATGCTGCCGGAGGAGGATACGTTGCTGAGCTGGTGGGGGGAGTCTTCCAAAGAGACGATCTCAGCGCCGTGGTCAGTGCGGGCCTTGGCTGTCTCACGGAAGCTCAGTTTGTGGCTCTCAATCTGCAGGAACATCACAGAAAAAGTCATTCCCACATGCTGGGTGGAATAAATGTCTAAAGAGATGCAGGGCGCCCTCTGCTGGCCGACTGAATGCCTAACACAAGTCCTGAGTGATAATGAAACAACTGCTTCTAAATCTCAGATTAATATAAAAGAATGTCAGAAATTTCACTATGTCACAATTTCATAGAGCCCAGAGTGATATTTTCTGCTTCTTTTGACAAGGAGCACAAAATCCGAACACGTGAGGAGCTTCAACCAGCAAATGTTTGACCTAATGTGATGATTTGCACATTCTGTCAAACATTATTGCATGTTCTTCCCCAAAGAGATGGAAAGGCCATTTTTAAGGGTGGCTAATATCAAGTTACTACAATAAGTCTTTAAAGGTTTGGCCAATTCTTTCAAATGTTTGAAACTTTATTTAGAATGATTAAAAAACAAACATTTTCATTTGTGAATGTTGGCTACCTCATTCAAGTAATCACCACAAATAAACAAAATAATATTTAAAAAATATACATTTTATATATATCTATAAATATACTTATATATAAATAAAATTAGGGAAGATGATGTAAAAGATCCAAAGTTCCCCTAATTGACCTGAAGACCTCGTATATTCAATCTACCATGCTCAGATTATTATTATTAAGAATTAATAATTGGGAATCGTTAAACAATTACAGATGATCAAAATTAATTAGTTTTAATCTTTGCTTGATCAACATATAATTTATTCAATGAACCTTCATGTTTCTTCTGTGAGAACAAACAGTGTAGTCAAAATGTTAAAATGTATTTATTTTAAATTCTGGATAACAAACAAAGGAGTAAGGCTTTTAACTTTGTGGTGAAAATATTTTTAGATAAAAAAACGGTAATATTCATCTAACAGATACATAAAATCTGGTTTATATAATAATATATAAATATATATTATTATATCAAATATAATATAATTATATTTATATTTATTATATTATTATATTAAATATGTAAGAGCTGTAATGCAAAATACGAGCAGTTGTGTTACTGTTTCCATTGAGGCAGCTGTGCCTAAAATGCCTCTGCCCAGTTCACTGTAACACCTGTGCAGCCTTTTTTGTTGGACAGGTGAATTCAGGTAGACTATCCTGTGCTTCTTTCTTTTTTTGCACCAGGGCAGGCAGTGAGACAGAATGCACATTTTTCCACTAGCCATGCGTACCCACTGAAAGTGGCCAATTTGTCTACAGATGTGCCGCCCACATCCACTGGTCACTTCTCAATTTGTATTTAGGTAACTTTTCAACCTTACCCAGCACTCCACAAGCTTTAATTTCTCTTTCTCTAACAGCATATCACTGATTACTTTGAATGCATAATATGGACATAATGAGAGAGAGTTGATAGGCTCAGTTGGCATTGCTAGACATCCTGGAGGACAGCATAAAGAATACCTGCGTATACCCTGCACCACCCTATTGTTCTCGCCTATACAAACAATCCAGCCCCCTGTAGTTCCCCCATTCCTGTTCTCTGGACTACGAGTTGAAACCCATGAAAAACTTCTACATTTATGGATGAAAACTGTCATTATCAGTAACAAACTAAACATCTGTACAGCTGTTTAACACCCTTATCAGGCTCGTGAGTACTTACAGGAGTCCTCAATCTTTATGAGGGGGTTCGTCAGGATGGGTGTGATGGGTGCTGAAGGGACAGTCTGAGGTGACTGAGGGGGGGTGACAGCAGGGGAGGGGATGGAGAGGCTGTCTGAGGTACTCCCCTCTGCTCCCTTCTCCTTCTACAGAGGAGCCCCCCGACAAGGGAAATGACAAGGCATGCAACAAAAATACACGTGATGGCGTCAACAGAAATCAAAATGCAACACAACATATGAGAAAAAATGGAATGGCAAAACAACAGAAGAAAAATCAATCATGAGAAACACAAAAATAACTGGATGGAGAAAATGGAAACAATAGAGGGAGAGAAGCACTAATGCTTTACTCTAGAGGAAAGGTTGAGCGATACTAATCATGAAATATTAGCTCTAAAAGATTCTTTTTTGTGTGAATCTCAGCAGATATATCATTAATGGTGATTTATGTGCTGTATTGTGGGTAAAGGAAATGTGTGACAGCGCTTTGTTTTGAAATGATCCAGCGCATGAATCTCTAACTGCTAATCAAAAATAAAAAATACAGCTGCCAGAAAGCTTCCATTTAGGAGTGAACACAAATATGCTCTCTGAAGTCAGGGAATCATTCTGAGCCACTACCCATCTGTATAAAACAGCTGTTGTTTTTTCTGAATACAGTCTAGCTAATGAAAAAGTGTCACAGATACAATTAATGTTTAGAATAATAATTAGTGCAACCAAATCAAAGCATAGATGACGTTGTTGGTGGTGGAATAAATTAAAGCCCTTATTCTCGCCCACAGTCTTTCTAAATTGCACATAAGCCCACATCAGGGTTGCTTTCAAATACCCATAGTTCCTTACCAATAACTGGTTGCATTTTGGATTGCATGCTATTTGACTATTCTCTGTGAAGTGTCACATGGAGGGAAATGCTTCTCGGGAAAGGTCAGCATGGAGCGTTTTGGATCTCTTAGGAGACCAATTTTTTCACACTTTTAAAATTTTAGGTCACCATTGCAACCTATGTTAATACAAAGGGAGTCAAAAGTCAAGATGACAGAGTAGTGTTTGTGCAATTGTATGAGTATTGCATGAAGAGTAACTCTTTTTAGCACTACAGCTCCAGTTAGTACTTTATTTGGAACAATAGGAAAAATGTTTTTACCAAGTAGTTGCCTGGCAGGCGACATCAAGGGCAAAGAAATATCTGCAAACCACTTGTTGCTGCATATGAAGCTTATTTTGTGTACATGTCTTGATCTCCAGCTCTCTTATCTCATCAGGCTTTTTACAGTTTTGCAGTCAGAGGAATCAGATAAGGGAGAATTGAACATCAAGATGTTTATTTTAACTTTCAGAGGGATTGTTACACCTCTAAAGATATCAGTGGAATACTGTAGTTGTTTAGGACATTTGTGTTAAGATGACCCGGGTGTTGCTGTTAGGGAGGTGTTAAGTTTTCTGAGTTGCTGACAGTGTTTCACCCACTAAAACCGTCATGAGCAAAAAACAAGAAGAACAGCTCTATGGATAAACTGCTGCTCATGCTGAGTTCAGGTACTGTGAGTCTGCAGGTCTTCATAATGACTGAAAACCTAATCTTTTTAGAAAGTAGAACAGGTGCTCGAGCTGTGTTACATTAAGCAGCAGAAATATGAAAAGGTGACAACATGAAAACAGACAGAATTAAGAAGCAGTGAGGCGTTTTTTAACATAAAGTTTGATTGTGATATTTTTACCTTTCTCCCTCCTCCTCCTGGAACGTGGCCGATGTTGTCAAGAGAGCCGACCTTAGACTGGACTTTAAACTCCAGCTTCTCATGTTTGATCTCGATGTTTCCACCACCTGAAGACAGAAACATTACACCATTATCAGCGTGTTTGGCCTTCAAACAATTACTGAAATGAAACCAGCTGAGAGGCTCTGTGAGTAAAGGTCTCTTAAAGGTGCAAGTAAAGGTGAAAGTGAGTAACAACCTGTAGTCATTTAAAACAGGACAGGTTGGCCTTGCTAAAGGAGTCAGGAGTCCCTATTCAACACTGTTTTCAACATGAAAGCTGTATTTCATGTGCTCTTTTCATGTTTTAATCCAAGGTCTTAGTCTATAAAGTAAACAGGAAGTAAGACCTTCTGAAGTGTAGAAACACACTCAGTTTTTAAATTGCACCACTTAGCCAGTGCACGGTCACTGATGAAAAATGTGATTTTAAACTAGCCTTATTGGGAAAAATATATAAAAATCAACAGCATAAATTATAGGTTTTGTATATAAGCGTTCTAAAGTTTGTGCTGGCTGTTTATCTTTTTGTCTTGCAGGACATTACAAACACATCCTCACCTGGTTTATGACGAATGTTGTCTTTCGATCCACACTTTGATGTAACGGTGCTCAGATCGATCTTTTTGTGCACAATCTGAACCTGTGAAGGCGACAAAACAGAACAAAAACAAACGTCAGAGAGACATCGGTCACTTTAAGTTTAGTTTGCATGCAGCAGCTACAGGGGGACTGATCTCAGAAACTGTCCAGTTAGTCTTCTAAAACTGTTACTGGGAGGAAAGGAGGGAAACACAGATCCATCAAATCGTTCACATGAAGACAAACTTCATTAGATATTAAAGTCTTGTCATGCCATCCATGACCGTTGTAACCTTAATTAGCAAACAAAATGCAGAAAAATTATCCAATTTAATGTCGATGATAATCCGCACTCTTTGACACGCTCATGTCTCATGTCGATTGGAGTTAACGGTCGTCTCAGTGACCTCATCTCAGGCTCTCCTGTTATCACACAAAGCACTCAGTCTCTCAGCTGAGGTCATCTCGGCACTCACATCAACAGGCACAGTGAAGAGGCCGAGGACAGAGACTCATTGTTACAGAGCAGAGACGATTTTATGACACAATTAGTTCAGAGGAAACTTAGAATCTTTAAAAAAAATGATTTTCTCTTTGTGAATAGTATCTGATCCTGCAGCTTAAAGCTAGGGTCAGTTTGAATTTAGACATCCTCACACAGGATTCATGCATTCTGATTAGACGCCAACTTCTGCCAATGTGATAAAAAAAGATCCTGTAGGTCAATTATAATGGAAAACCTTCAAATCAAAAATAAAGAAAACTGTTCTGTAGCTTTTCTTTTGGTCTGTAGGCTGAGGTTGAAACAATCAATTAATTTAAATCAAATTTAAACTACACAATTTGTAAAACTTTATCTTAAAGGATGCTAAAAGATTATTTCAAAATAAGAATTTTATGATTTTTAAAAAAAAATTTGTTGAGAAACTTTATAGATTTCAGAAAATATGAAACATTATTTAAAGGTACCAGGACAGTTATTGAGATGATGAGAGGTGAGAGGGACTCTGAATTTCTGTGATTTTATACATTTATCCTGCACTTTATCTATTTAGGCGCATTTTATTTTTCTTTGTTAATCAGAATTAAAGATGTATCATCATATGATTGTCCAGCAATATATCTCAGAATGGATGTATTTGGATATTATCGTGGGCCACGTATTGCACATCTTATCCTGTCATGAGCTACCCTGATATTCTTATCCTTATTTACATCATTCCTTATAGAGAGGTTATCCTGACTGAGGATCTAATTAGAGGACTCCAACGTCCATATATGGGGCGCGCACACTAACCACTAGGCCACCGGCGCCCAAGAGGATCTTATTATTTATCACAATGGCATGAATGGTCCTCCATTTATATTGTTTAGGAGCCATTTTTAGGGGGTCAGATTGTTATCACGGTCAAACCAACAAGCACAGATTCAACATTAGACCATGAGCATTACATAACTCTGTTAGCTGTAACAGAGGAGGCACTGAGAGCACTCACAGTGACTTCACACTGACAAAAGGACTCAGATATACAACTAATTCAGACATCAGTACGTGCAGGAAGGAAAGCTACAGGGAGTAGAGTGTTTGTACAGTTTAGTGCTGTTCCAGTGTTCAGTATGAAATGCTCATGGTGGGTGTGTTCACGTTTAAATATCAAACTGTTAATAGGAGGTGTTAACAGGTCTGTGGGGAGGAAAACAGGTTTCACACGGATGGGAGATTTCGTGCACTCTGACATCCTGCTCCTTCGTGAAGATGCATTCAGGAGAGGCAACAAGAATAGGATTTTCTGGCGACAGCTGCATACCTGCAGCTTGCCACGAGCTCAATCCCAAATCTACTCACATTGCCACCACCGGGTACATGTTTAATATTATCTTTGGAGCCGCAGCGGGACTGCACATTGCTTACGTCCACCTTCTTCTCAAGAATTTGAACCTGGAAAGTTGATACGTGGGAAAAGAAAGTCGGTTATCCTGCTAGGAAGAAACGGCGGCCGAGGCTGCGCATGAGGACCTTTTTCATTGAGAGGAAATAAGATGTTTGAGGGACGAGCTGGAGGCTCAGGGTAGAGAGAGAGAGAGAGAGAGAGAGAGAGAGAGCTAACCATGGAGCATGGCTGATTAAAGAGGAAGGGGAAGTGCTTTGATTTATTCAAAACAAGGATTTATGAGCGTAATTGCAGAGATGAGAAGGTCCCTCAGTTACTCACATGACCACCTCCGGGTACATGTTTGACATTGTCTTTGGAGCCACATTTAGACAGCACATTACTATAGTCCAACTTCTGATCAAGGATTTTAACCTGGAAAAGTGCAGAGGTAAGGAGAACCACTGAGAGACACTACTGCAACGACAGTGAGTCAGCCTTGTTTTCAAAAGAATGAATATAAGTGAAGAGTTTGAAAGAAGTTCTCAGTAAACAGGGAACAAAGTGAAAACCTGTAACTGTTAGAGAGTACAGCCTGCACACAACAGGGGAGTGACATGTGACACATCTTAAACTAAGTCAGTTACTTTTTCAAAAGCTTTTCTTTTATGGTTTCCAGAAAGTATCCTGTGGACCTTCAACATGAATGTTTTGCATAGCTTATATTGATTGTTCCTGGTTTTGTATCACATGACCTGTCAGGTGACCTCAGGGGTTGGATATATGTGGAGGTGTGTCCATTCACTTGTTCATGTCTGATGAAGGGCGAGGGCCCCAAACGTTACATGTGGTGATATTTCCAATGAATTAAATTTAATTGGAGCAGCTTCTGGTGTGCGGACTCAGTATTTTTCTATCTTCCAGAAAATAACAAACACTATAAAACATGTTTTTTTGTCATCGATGGGCCAAATAATAGCTATTGTAAATAGATATTTAGTAATTCATGGGACATTTAAACTAATTGTACTATTGCACGGCAAAATACAACTTTACATTAAAATTAACTAATCATTTTTGCAAGTGTTTCAATGTCATTCTTCCTAAAATGCTGAATCAGCATCCAGATCTCTCACCTTGCCTCCACCAGGAGTGTGCTTGAGGTTGGCTTTGGAGCCACAGCGAGTTTGGACGTTAGCCAAGTCCAGCTTCTTGTCCAGGATTTGGACCTGCACGGTGCGAGAGGGGAAAACAACAATAATCAGAAAGGATAAGGAGGAAAGCTGCCAGAGGGGAAGCAGCTCAAAGGAGAAGATAAAATGATGAAGGGATGACATCTAGACCGTTTTTTGACTCGCTTCATTTAAGCTGCCATCCATAACTTTGCATCTTTTTATCACACAGATTTTCATTAAACCACTGCAACATGAGAAATACATCTTTGATACTACAGGGGGATATTTTATAGGACTTCAGTGCATGATACTCCTATTGCACTGGCTCATTGTTTAAACCAATATTATGTTACAGATGCCAGCTTGAATGCATTACAGCAGTGGTCTTTTGGTTAGATGCAGCTTTAACCTTTAGTCTAAACAACTTAGTACAAAACTCTAAATAATTCAGTGCCATATTAGTTATGTTTGAGCCAGCTGTGACTGCACAGATTCTTTTTGAAGTCCATCTTCTGAGCATGTGAACAGGGGAGAGCACAAAAATAAGAGAGCACTTAGTTTTTATTTTACCAAAAGTTTGTTTTTGGTGATCATAACTGCAGAGATACTCAAGAGTCTGGTGTTGAGTTCATCCCTCAGTTACTCACTTTGCCGCCACCGGGTACATGTGTCAAATTGCCTTTGGAGCCACACTTAGCCTGCACATTACTATAGTCCAACTTCTGATCAAGGATTTGTACCTGGAAGAATGAAAACGTCAGCTTTTAGAATGTTGAGCGTAGAAGACGATGAAGTGAAACAATGAGCTGTGAAGAAAACAGACTCGTGTTGCTTTGTGTTAACGGCATGCATGAGGTCGTGTTAGAGTGAGAGAGGGTGGAGGGAATCATTTGTCCTGGAGTTTTTAATTCTCATTCTCTCTACTCTGTCGTTCATTTTATTCCATAAATATCACAACTGAAGATCCTCTAAATATTGGCAGGAAGACACGTGACTGCACCCGATACAAAATTAGAACAAAGACTTGAAAGGGGTTTGAATGCTGAAAAGGACCTCACACATTTACACACACAAAACACACACATCACACACCGACACATGCACACACATGCAGTACATGAACACTCTTAAAACACAGGTACACACAGCACCTGAAGAGACTGAGGTCCAAAAACATTCCTCACTGATTGATTCAAACCTCAGAGGGCCGAGACACTTTTCTTTGTCTTTGTTCAGACTCTGATTTATGTTATTTATAAAACATACAGTATGTATGTTTCTCTCATGTACGTTAGGTGTTTAACTGTTCTAGTGGTGCAAGAGATTACAAATCTCATGGTTTGTATCAGATCACAGATTTGTGTCGGATCGGCCAAAAAGAAAGCAGAACGAATAACAATACATCTCCATGCGCCTCAGTTATGTTTTGCGTCTGCTACACCTCAAATGATGCCATACAAGCAGTAAGATAATCCTTCAATTACTTTGAATTAAGAAAGTGCTTACAGGCTTTCTTTTCACTCAGACTCTGCGCTGGGATTTAGCGGCAGTACATTTATTTTACACATTGATGGTATATTTTTTAATCGATCTGTTGATCACACACAGTCCACCGAGTTGATCCATGACTGTGATCCGTTCCACCACTAAACTGTTGGGCATGCAGGTGATACACGGGGGTCCTGACACCAGGTGGTTCTTGTCTGCGGCTGTAATATGGTGTCAAGCATTGTGCTTCATAAGGCCTGCACATGTCTGTTAACAATGCAGGATTCAAAATCTTGAATCTCTTCTTTTGCCAATGCTTTTTATGGAGATGCACTACAATCTTTTTAGAAGAATAGACATCTTTTAAGTTTACATTCGACCTCTTTGGTTAGATCTAAATTGGTGCCATGCAGCCTCCGTTGGAAAGCACCAAACGGTGGAGAGAGAATTTTGAATTGACCTACTGAGTTTGAAATCAACCAATAAGCTTCTTTCTGCCTCCAAAGCAGATCAGACTGAACAGAAAAATGTTAATGGACCCAAACCTCACCTCTGCAAACTACATAAGAGCCTTTTTGCAGTATGAGGAGTACCCTGAGTAATCCTACCTTTCCACCTCCTGGCTGGTGTTTCATGTTCTCCGTGGAGCCGATCTTGGACCTGACGTTCTTCAGGTCCGGCATGGGTGCTGCTGCAGCCAGAGGAGCGGGCGGGCGGCTCTTCAGCGAGCCTGGGGATTTGGGCGTAGAGCGCACCACGGCCACTTTCTTCACTTTGTTGGCCTCGGCCGCCGCCTTTGCTTGGCTAGTGGGGGACTTAGGAGTACCAGGGCTGCTTTGTCCACTCTTGGCATCTTAAACAATCAGAGAAGTGTCAGAAGTGTCAGCGGTTTGAAGCGAGTGAGCGGTCAGGCATGAAAGAAAATAATTTATAAGAATAAATCATAAAAACAAACAAAGCGCTGTGCTGACTGAAAGCTGCCCCAAGTATGATCCAGGATTAACCTGATCAGACTTTGGCACGGTGGCTTAAAGTGATCGCTAATGAGTTGTGCTTTTGCTTCTATTTTTTTTTTTTTTTTTTACCTTTTTCATTTTTTGGAGTGGGAGGTTTCTTGGCACTAGCTGTATCACAAAAAATATGACACATCATAAGTAATTCTTAAGTCTTACTTATAAAAAATAACAAAAAAATGAAAAGTCCATCAATCAAAATAACAAAAATGAGGTGTAATGTCCTTGTTCCGTACCTCCAGGCCTTGCAGAGGTTTTGGCTCCAGGTTGTTTTGCACCACTCTGAAAATCAACAACAACAAAACGAAAGTTACATTTCCAGGAGAGAAGATGCTTTTACCTCCAAAGGATGCATTTGCTTTAATCTACATGAAGAGCCATGCAATTCAGAAAAAAAAACATGTTTGGATGAAGGAAAAATCACACAAATGGGGTCTTATTTGTTTGAGTGTGAGGATGCCATCAGTGATGATTGTAAAGGATTTGAGTAGTGTTGACAGTAATTGAATAAATTAGAAATCAGTGGAGGTTTGGATGCTTTCAAACCAACCAAACTCAGTTAAACATCCTTTCTCTTTCAAACTGTAAACTTGAGCATCCATCCATCCTGACCTGAGCGCAGGTCTTAACTTCTATGCTGCATTCAGACCTGTACTTACTCCGGCCTGCCCTGTGCTGCTGGCTTTAACAGGGATGGAGCTGGGGCCGTTTCGGGAGGCAGCGTGTGTTTTGTTGCCCTCGGTGACTATGGATGGTCTTTTTGGGAGAGAGGTTGGTGTGGTGGCAGTTTGAGTCTTTGTCATGAGGAGGGGGAAATGAATAGAGAAACAAACGTTCTAATGATCATAAAACAAAAGGAATGATTGAAGAAAATGAATATGATGGAAATGAAAGGTTGTAGGATTTCTCTGGTTTATTACAAACTGGAAAAAAATTCTCATCTATATTATAATTTAACTCCACAGTTCCATTGACCCACATAGGAGGTCTAAGCCTGTTGTAGCTCGTTGTTTTTATTTTCTGGCCAAAAACTTTTGCTGCTTTGGTTGACCCTCCTCTCTCACAAGTGAAGTTTCCAGCAGATCTTTGGAGAAAAAAAGAGCTTTATAATCTCTACAGCTCTATAATCCCTCAGGTGAAAGGAGGAGGTGTTAGCCAGATTAGCTAAACCTCTTTATTGAGAAGAACGACTCAAAATGAGAAGAACAGTCCTGCATTGCACAGTGACAGCAAGTTTCCTGGTCAAAGTTAGACTCAGGCTAAGTAAACTCTAAACTGTCATAGATGCAAATTTACAAAAAGCTCGGGTGATATTTCAACCTCTTTTGTCTTTTCGTCTTGATCTAATACTGGATGGGACGACTTTTGTAAACAATCAAGATAACCGCCACTGACTTTATGTCTCAGTCAGAAATTGTGTATTTTACGAACAATCTGAACACTCTTGTCGATCTTGTGAATGTGTCAAATTACGAGTAGCTTCGATGAAACTGTCCACATTGCGTCAGACTCTGTTTGCTTCGTCTGCCATCCTGGATTCATGCAGGGTTACTCTACGTCTGCTGCTGTGAGGGACATGTGTAAACAGGCAACTCTAAGATTGTCTGAGCAGGCTGTCCTGACTTTTTTAGACATTTTCAGGAGTTCATCAGTGTAAAAACAGCTCTTGTCATCAATCTTTGAACGCATTAGATATCATCTAGCAACCTCAAACACTTTGATTGTCAGCTACTGTTTTGCAGCTTTCAGTGTTACCAGTGGATATCTGGATAAGGGAAAAGGATAGAATAGCCTCCAGAGGAATTTTTGGTTTGTGGCCTTCAATAATGTCTCATAGTAATTGAAAAATACTGAGAGGTTTCTGTCTAGTTTTATCATCAATCTGTTTATGTTTCTTGCTCACCCTATGTTCAGATGAAGCTACAAACCTTTTCCAAGTTGTAATAAACCAAAATAATCCCTTTAAAGAAAGAGATGAGTAGTAATGTTCTCTGTCACATACCTTATCCGCAGAGCCGTTATCCATCTTTGCTTGAGCTACAGACAGAAGAGAGAAAAAAAAGGGATTTAGATTGACCCCATTTTTTTTGGGGGGGGGGTTTAACATCTATAATTTATCCTTTCTATCCACTCAAGTGAGGTAAATGAAATCCTTCTGCTTCCAAGTGTGTGCCCAAAAGCATTCTCACAGCAAAGAAACAACAAATCAAACGTTGGTGATGTGGGGTTATGCAGCATGCATCGTGACACAAAGTGCTTGTGGAAAACAAAAAAGTGGCTCTTTTTTTTTTCCAGGGCTGCATAACCAGCGAAAGTGAGCAGAGATGGAGAGATGAAACAGAAAAGCTAAAGTGGGGAGGGAGGGACAACAAGCTTCTCCTCGGGTCAAAGTTAACGTCCGTATCAGACAAAAAGTCGGAGGGAGAGTGCTGCAAAGAAAGCTGCGTTGTAAAAGAAAGAAGTGGGAGGAGTTAACTGAGGAGGACTGGTTCTGAACTGGTGAACATGACAGCAAACAGACCTTTGAAAACAGCCACCGGCACCAGAGACTTTCTGGCTGGAGAGCTGTGGGGGGGAGTTTTCTGCAGCTCAGCGGTACTGGTGGTCTGAGCCACATCGCTCCTCATGTCTGAGTCATTAGAAATGTCAGGCTTTGAATAGTGGCCTCTATGTGATGATGAGTCACTGCTGGTGTTTTCAGCTGCTGGTTTGGTAAACAAGCTATCCATGTCTGAAATGTTCCTACTGCCATGCTCATTCAGAATGTTGTCTGAAGGAGAATCAAAGACCGAGTGAGACAGACTTTGGGTGCGAGTGGGATTTCTCGTTTCTGGGTTGATATTTCTGTTTTCAGCGTCACTGCAGGACTTTAAAGCTGCTCTGTTTGCAGTCGCTCCGTCTGTTATTTGCTCAGAGACGAGCTGACCTCCTCGATCGCCAATGGACGTGAGATCCTCCAAAGCTGCGGTGCGCATTAAAGACATCCCGGACAGATTGCTCATTTCGCTCAGGCACTCAGAGGCGTCGAGGCTGATCGCCCTGTGAGGATCCACAGCTCCGCCCCGCTCAGGGCTCCTCCTGCCGGGTGATACGTCCCGCCTGAGCTCTGCTCCAGCTCCACAGCCGAGGTCTTCAGAGGCCCATAAAGAGTCACTTATCCTCTTCACGCTCTCTCCCGCCACCTCGTTTCCGATTTTCTGGAGGCAGGAAGCTCTCATGATGTCGACACGCTCGGCAGAAGCTCCAACTTCAGCAGATCCATCAACCACAAACGCAAACTCACTGCAGACTCCAGAAGCAGGCTTTGCTAATTTGTTTGGAAAGCAGATTAATGATGACAGTCACAGCACTTGTTTTCCATCTCCCCATTGAAAAAAAAAAAGACTAAAGAAGTGAACAAAACAGGGAAGTTGATGTCCATGAGGAAAATAAAAGATTACTGTGTTTCATTAACCAGAAAAAAAACACCCCAAAAAACCCAGTGAGGATGCCAAACCAGGAACAGAGACGTGATGAGTGATGGAAAGAAGTTCACATGAAATAAAATTGAGATGAGAATGGACAGTGATGCATCACGCTGGGGCTCACAGACAACAGATGATGCATTCCACTGAAACTGACCACGAACATGTGTATGTTTTTAATCATAAATAAAGTGATTAAAATGTGGTAGAAAGTTCCTGAACTTCAGATAAATGTAAAATAATAAACCCACCCAAAACAAACGTCAACCTACATTTTAAATTTTCTTACAGCAGTGAGGAAAACTGTCATGAAGCCATAAAAAGTGAATTAGGCCCGTGTCCACCTAGCATTTTAACGGGTAGAGAAGCGCTGGCTGTACGCTCGGGAACGTTTGGATGCGTTGAGAAGAAAAGCACTGCAAGTCTGTCCTGTCTCTATGACAACAGTCTGTTGACAACGGTTACCGCTGTATGAGCGACACTGCTCTGTCACTTTTTAACTGCATGTTTTATATTTGAGATCGTTTATTTCCCGATCAAACACGGAGCGAGGCGGATGTGGGTATAAAACACGATCTGTAGGCGGTAAAACTACGGGGAAAATCATACTCTGAAAAGTTGAAAGATTTTCAACTTGAGTGCTCAGAGCAGGTGCACAAAAAGGCAGAACGCTCAGAGAGTGGTCCTGCCGAGCAACGCTCTCCTAAAATGTCTCGTCTCCTTTTTTTTATTGCACTCTATCCTGGGAATACCGGTTGCTGTATTTTGTGTCACGTCTTAATGTTTCAGTATGAAACACTACATTTTGCTCCTGTTATTTCCATTTCCATCTATATTAAAGATGAAAATATCTTCAGAAAAGGTAAAGGGGTAATAATGGATTTGAAGTGTCTAGAAATGTAAATTCTGGTTGGCGATTTTTGAAAAAATCAGAGAATCGAAAAAGACAAAGTACTTTGAGTATTCTGTTGTGTCTTTCATCACAAGAAGTACAATGATTTACACAAATCGCGGCCACACTCAATACTCATTGAAAACAATTTTAAAAAAGACATTGGAAAAAAACGCTAGGTGTTATTAATCACTCTAAACTTGAGTTATTAGATTCAATAAATAGTTATAATTATTATTAAAGTGGAACACTCCAGATGATGTATTACAGTAGCAACATGATGAATCGGTTAGTACAGGAAATGAAGAGTACTGACAGTTCCTTCTCCTCTGGGCTTCCCCCTGGACTAAATACTGTGTTCATATCTATCACCTGCGGTAAATAAATACAGGGGTGAGAGCCATCAATGAGACATAAAGAGCCTACCTGTTGGAGCTGCTCCTCCTGCTGCTGCGGGTGGAACATGTAGAGACAGATGGAAAAGACATTAGAACATGAGCAGTAATGACTTTCTGTCATTCAGGAATGATTAATACACTCACTCACTGCAAAGAAATCAATACAAAGCCCACACACAGCACGTCTTCAGTTAATGCACAGAGCCCAAAGCAAATATCAAAACATCATCAGCAAACACAGAGAGCAGGCCACATGTTTGATGTCAGTCTGTCATGTGTAGCAGTACCACACTGCACAGCTGCTTTTAAAATCATCCTGACTGGGAGCCGTGCATCTGTGTAACACATCACAGGAAGTCTTAAATCTCCCCGCGGTCTGGCCATCCTGAAATAGCCAGGATGTAACCATCTTTTTGGTATAAAAAAAAAAGGGGGGGGGGGGCATGTTTGAGTCTGTTTATGATCATGTTGCAGTTCTGAAACGTAGGAGTATTAAACATCGTAGCCAAGCATGAAAAGAAAAAAAGAAAGAAGCCACAGAACAAATAAATAAATAAAAGCCCCCGCTCTTTTCCCAGAATGATGCTGAAAGAAAAAATATAGTGAGCAGATTTTAAATCAAGGCCAACACAAGAGCAGGTTTCAGCATCAAAAATGAAAGGTCCACTACTTTAAGAAATCAGAGCAAGTTAGAAAATAAGATCAATTCCACTCACTTGTCCACATGTTTAATATGAATATACAACCAACAGCTGGTTAGCTTAGCACAGAGACTATAGGAACAGACGGAAACGGCTACAAGTAACTAGCGCCCTCCAGTTATATTCAAGGTCACATATTTTGTAAAATACACTTCATATTGACAGTCCAGACATGTGAGAGGTATTGATCCTATTAAAATGATTGTCTTTAAGACTCTAGGGGGGGAAAGCACCAAAGCCAAAGCAGCTGAAAAAAATGGGAAGAGCCCAGAGACCGGAGGCATTACCAAGCTGCCCCTCGTCCTCACATGTGGCGCTCTCTTCTCCTGAGAGCCCAGCGGCAACCTCTGCTTCCTCTGCAGACGTCCCTACTGTGGGATAAATGTATGTCAGTCAGTCAGGGAATAACCTGAACCTCCAATCTAACCCGCAATCTGACAGACGTTTATCAGAATCAGAATCAGAAATACTTTATTAATCCAAGGGGGAAATTTGTTAACTATAGGCTAACTGGGCTCTGAAACGACCCCCCCCCCCCCCCCCCCCGACCCTGACCTTGTGTGAGCTGCTGCGGGTCAGCTGTGGTATTTCTCATGTTCACACTCTCTGGAGCTGTTTAACTGATCAAGGAGGCTTTTCAACCCGATGACACAACTTTCCACTGGGCTCGGGAGCAGCTGTCAGACTCAGTGTTTATGATCAAAGCATGTTTGACCCAGAGCCGAGTGGAGCTACTGTGGCTAATCCTTACACACACAGAGAGATGTTATTGTCTGTGTTAGTGCTGATTCTGCATGTTCAATGGTCTCTTATTTTACTATGTAATGACAACACAGCGTAAGTGTTAAAATACCAGGCACATGTGTTCAGAGATTTAAGGGCTAAAAATAATCAAAACTGTGAGGTGGAAGAAAATCAACAAATTAAGAAGACTGTTTCTCCAACCAAAGATCTGAAACAAAGGAAAGTTAATTCATAAAATAGGATAAATTAACACAAACAAAAGTATTTATAAAAAATAATAAAAAAAACAAGGGTTAAGTGTTTGGTGTTGTGGCTTCATGACGTGCTGCGTGCAGGCGGGCGTACCGGGTGTCACCGTGTGGTCACAGTGGCCGCTCTCTGCCTGAGTCAGCTCAGACACAGATTTCACTCCGTTCTCACTGAGAGCTGCTTCAGTCTCTGTGAATCAAAGGTACACTGGAGGTCAAACTTGTAGTGCCGTAATCTGGTATAGTTTATGTTTGTGGGCTGTGAAAAGAGAGTCATGTTATACTGATAATAAGACAAGTACTTAAACAATCTAAACCTGGGAGGAGAGATTTCAGGAAGCCTGGATTTAAACAAAAGAAAGTCCCTGTGTTATATGAGAATCTTAAACATGTTTACTTTATTCAGCAAGGGAAACATAACGCTTAGAAAAATAGTAGTGGTCATGTGAACTACTGCCTACAAATAATACATAAAAAAAAAATAAAGGCCACTAAATATATATATATTTTTTAGAATATCTCAATTTCCTGATCTGATGAAATGACCGAATCTGTGACTTAAACAGAACATAATGCCTTCTCAATTAAATGTACTGCAACAGATCGGGCACAAAAACACAATTTGTTATTTTGGCCGGTAAAAAATATGTTTGGCCGGTGAATTTTTTCATCTACCTGCCACCTTTGGCCGGTGAGTCAAAAAGTTAATTTCGGACCCTGTACAGTTACATCTAGTGCAGCGAACAAACCAGTCATCAAAAATCCGCAACGGCTAATTTAAAAAAACTGTGAATGTCGGATATTGGACGACGGGCTCAGACATAAAGTACAAACATGATATTTCCCTACACCTGATGAAGTAGTGAGGCTAAAGACCGAACTACAGTTCAACAACTAACCACACATTTACTATTGTTGATTTGACAACGAAAGTCAACTGTCATAGGTCAACTCATTTCATCCTTTCACGCTAAACAAAACCCATAAATTACAACTCCAACAAATCAAATCATCAAGCTTTAAATACACAAACATTGCACCCTAAATATCCCAAAATTGTTGTAATTTATATGTCATCCTGTAGCTGACGTCTCTGGCTCTTAAATTCCTGAATGCTCCAACAGTCGTTTGTTTTTACTTAAAAAAAAGAAAGAGGTGACATTAAACTAAAACAGAAGTTTGGAGGACCAACTTTACATCACAGCAGCGCGACACAGTGTAGCTAAGCCGGCTAATTGATGAACACGACACAGTAAACAGAGGGCAACAATGGATGACCAGCAGGGGTCTGCAGCTCCGTGGTTGTCCAAGGGGCGGAGCTTTGCTCTGATATTAGTCGCAATAAACAAAAACAGCCTTCAAATCACTCCTGAAATGAATCATTTTGTCAGATTCAATCCATAAAGGCCTTGTTACAGCTAATTAAAGAGTAACAGATTCAATGTATTTAGGACTTCTAGCCATGGCTCATTTGCCGTTCTTTTCCTTGGTTAGGCTTTTAGGAAATAACACACATGATATGACGCTGTAAAATAGACATACACACTGACATCCATGAGATATTCAAACATGGAGAGTTTTGTGTTTGTGCTTTATTACAGCTCTCGCACGAGAAGTGACAATTCTTTTGACCAATCAGCTGACTGCAGTGTGTCTAACTCTTCTGTTTAGGGTCGGATCGGTACGCTTGGCAACCCAACAGAAGGGTAGCAAAAAAGTTGACGTTCGGGTCGTTTGTTTTGGTACCATTCTCAACTTTTAACGGTGGAAATGCCCATAAATGTGTACGCTACTGCTCGGTAGAAACAAGGCTCAAAACTCTGTCAAGCAGACCGGAGCTGCAGACTCGACCACTTCACCTCTGAGCGCTCCTTTTCACATCGTTTTCGATATCATCTGAATTGTTATTATTTAAAAAAGATCATTCAGAACCACAATGATATCAAATTTTAAGTCAGTGTATAAATAGATTATACATTTTGACACCAGACCTGACATAAGAAAAACAACATTAAACCATAATTGTCACAAACTGCTGCTCTACATTTCTTTTTAAACTAACCCGCACAGCTAACATTAAACTACAAAAAGCCACGTTTTCTACTCCACTACGTCTTCTACTTCAAACACATCACTGAGATACTCACTCTGTGTTTCACCGCAGATTAAAGCGCGGTTTATCTCTGCCGACGGATCGGACTCTGTGTGCTGCTTCCTGTCCGTGCAAGGCATGATGGGAAGTGGAAACAGGGAGAACGACTGCACTAAAGAGGGCTGTAAACTGGGGAACGCTAGGTTACGCACTAATTGGCCGAATGGTTCAATCGGGATGAGAAGACAGAAACTGAAACTGATTATTAGCGACAAGCTGAACAATCTGTCTGGACTGCAGTTATTCACTTTACAAACTCTGAAGCTGACACACAGAACCGTCTCTTGACCTTTTTCTTGCGGTTGCTGTTTTCACATTAATAACCCTTTCAGACCTCTTCTGTGCTGCCTGATTGTTTGTGAGCTGAATCTGTAGCGTACAGTGAGACAGGATGGAGACGGGGCTCGTTCTGACCCAGATGTCTGCATTACAGAGAGCACAGTGCAGCTGCAGGCGGACACTCAGGGCCAGTCAAGCATGTCTTGTATCTATTATGTAAAAAGGGATTAAAACAAAGCACAGTCGAATCTGCGGGGCTCGACCTCAGCCCCAAATCTACACGGGGAACTCAGCGACTCTAGGGTATCATGAACGGAAACATCACAGTGATCCCTTTTGGGACGTTTTGAGAATACGTTCAGGGATATAAATATGAAACCAGAAGGAAGGATTTGAGGACATTTAACCTTTGGGGCCCAAAGTAGGAGGGTGCAGTTTGTGTAAAAATTTATAACGCAATCAAATGTAACTATAAAAATAAATCAGGAAATCTGAATACTTGTCAACATAATCACCTCTGCCTAACAGAAGTAGAAAGTACAGCTGCATGTGAGATATACCCTCATAAATCATCTGTTAGTTTATCAGCAGAAGTTTGGATTCTGCACATGAGATATTATTATTGATGATGATGGTTTTGTTTGATAATGATTTTACGATGGTTTTGATTCTGATTAGAACTCTGTCTGTCGCAGCTGTCGGTGGTGTGTTCTGCCTCTGGCCACTTCCTGTCAGCACCTCTGCTCACTTCCTGTTGGCACCTGTGTGTCTGATCAGACTTAAAGCTGTTTGTTTTCACTTCCTGGCGTTGTCTCCTCGTCTCTATATCCTCGCTTGTGTTGTTCTCACTCTGATGTACGTCACTTTGAATAAAAGCGTCTGATAAATGAATTTTAGAATTGTAGAGAAGGAAACATTTGACTCACAGTAAATGCATCAATACACACTGAAAAGGCCTAACATTACCATTACTATATATCATTATTTAAAACTTTGATTAGATCATTATGTCCTGCTTTAAAAAAATGATGTAAATTTTTCTTTCTTTTTAAACCAAACATACATTTTGGTGCTATCATTACAGAATATTTTGTCACTCTTATAAATTGGGTTATTAAAGCTACTGATTTGTATAGCTATAGTTCCTCATACTGTATATGAAATATTGATTAATTTGTGTATGTTTTACATATTTGCCATACTGCAACGTGTAAACTATAACATGTCTTTGTTTATGTTTTTAGAAAAGTTCAAACTTCATATTCTTTAGCCTTATAATGACTCATAAACAATGAGTGAGCTTGATCAGGAGCTTGATCAAAAGTTATTTATTTATTCATTATCATGGACAGTGGACATTAATTTGTAAGTAACATGACTGAAGCTAAAGTGTGTCTGTTGTTCTTGGACAGGTAAAAACGGAAAAAGTCAATGACTTACACATTTATTTTTCATGGTATTGTAACAGTTCAAACCCTCCTTGAAGTCGAGTCACGTTGTCGAGCCTTTATGAGTGTTTGTTATTATTAGACACTGTCAGAATTTAACTAGTTAATCTGACATTTTCTAAATCTTAATGTGTGTATGTAAATCCAAGTAAATATCAGTAGTAACATGTTTTAGAGGACAAACAGGACATGCATCTTGTTTAGAAACAGATATTATGTAACATGTATTTTGAACAGCTCACTGCCTGAGAACTGGTCTTTATTGTTTTATTAAAGTGCTGCAGAGCGACAGTCTCTGTGTTGGGTCCTGTCAGGACATCAGAGCTGATCGGTGATGTAATCATAAGACCATAATGAGAATGATGTCATCAGGATTACGTCACCTTGACAACTAGTCAGCTGTATTCATTTGGTACATTAACTGCAGAGGCATCTCTTTGTTTCACTGTCTGACCTTTCATTTTGGCATCTCCGGGGCTTCTGTGTCCCAGCTGCACGCCGTTCTCCTGGTGGTGCTGGTCATTGATGGTCATGTTGGCTAAGGTGGAGTTCATGGTGTCTCCAGAACTGTAGCTGTTGGGGGCGTTGTTCATGTAGTCCATTGCCAGTCGCAGGTCAGGCTGCAAGAGTTCAAGAAATGCAGATGAGGACAAGAAGAAAGAGGCCTGGATTTAAGGATTAAATAGAAAGATGGCGTTCTTCATGAACACCTCGTCTTCCGGCCTGCAGAATCCAGTCCGTCACGGTGAAATGTAAACAGACACTGTGTCTGTGAAAAGTGGTTATTTATACATCCTGACGTGGGGTCGGTGCTTCATGTTACAGCCTGACTGATAAAAATAGTCCCTTCTGCCCATGTGCACGTCGTCCTTGATGAGATAAGTTCCACTTCCTAAACAACCTGAACAAGTGCAGCACTTCTGTTTCACGCTCTGCTAATTAACAGAGAAGTCAAAGTACACTCTGGTATCACTGTAGAAATACAGTTACATACAAAATGATAATTAAGTTTATGAGGGAAGTCAGGAAAACACACATTAAGTATTAAGATTGGAAAAATATCCCCTATGACTAGTTGTTGTAGTACTAGAAATCGGTCTTGGTCTCAAGACCACTTTTTGAAGGTCTTGAAATCGAAAAGCATTTTTACTCGGTCTTATCTTGGTCTCAGACTGGTCGGGCTCCGTGTTTTAAATCAAGACTACCACTGAGAGGCAGTTTCTCCACGTCATTACTGTGATTAGAAGGAAAACACCTCTTTTTAAAAATACAAATAACTTCAATTCATTCATAATTTGATCTCATCTCGATTTCCCCCTTCCTTGGTCTCGTTCCCTTAATGTCTTGGTCTTGGTCTTTGTCTTGACTCACAATGGATCCCTAAATGTCTTGGTCTTGACTCGGTCTGGATCCCTAAATGTCTTGGTCTTGACTCGGTCTGGATCCCTAAATGTCTTGGTCTTGACTTGGTCTAGATCCCTAAATGTCTTGGTCTTGACTCGGTCTGGATTCCTAAATGTCTTGGTCTTGACTCGGTCTCGATTCCTAAATGTCTTGGTCTTGACTTGGTCTTGGTCTTAGTCTTGACTCATAATGGATCCCTAAATGTCTTGGTCTTGACTCGGTCTGGATCCCTAAATGTCTTGGTCTTGTACTTGGTCTTGGTCTTAGTCTTGACTTGGTCTGGATCCCTAAATGTCTTGGTCTCTCCTCTTGGTCTGGTCTCTCTCTCTCTCCGATTTCTTACTCTATCCACTGTCTGGTCTCTAAGATAAAAGCATAAAAAGCCCAAAGATAAATCTAAAAAAACCAAAATGTTATTATCGTGCGTTTTATTAAATCCATCTTCATTGCCAAGCTGTCTGGAGCTCATCAATGTTTTCACCAGCTATTCTCATGTCCTGACATCAGAAGCTGCTCAATATGTCCAAGACTCAACATTGTGACAATTCTTCCTTTGAAACAGTTTTTATCGATCGAAAAAACCCAATTATTACAGATCTGACACCTGGAAGCAAAAAGTGTTTTTACAGGAGAAATGACCCAAACCACTGTGTGTGAAAAATGACCCATTAACCATCTGGGTCATTTTAGGAGAAACAGATATTAAACTCATTTGTTCATCTGTTTTATGAGCGAAAAAACTTTACTTGTATATTAACTTTTGGGCATGTAAAATTTGCACTAAAGGGAAGTATAGTTGCACCTGTTACAGCTGTAGATTTTGTCAAAGTGACTGATTGACCCTTGACCTTGTCCAGAAGAAATCAACCTTATGTCCCAACATGCTCCTTCGATCAGCGAGACGTGAAGACTTCAAATCTCATAGAAAGAGGATTACATATCAGATTATAGCCGAGCCTCCGGTTACATCAGCAGTTTTCAGTTTGAATCAGATATATACGGAGCTGTCACACAATCACTGTCCATCACACACACACACACACACACACACACACACACACACACACACACACACACACACACACACACACACACACACACACACACACACACACACACACACACACACACACACACAAACACACACCCACAGTAACAAGGCGAGGCTGCTGCACAGAGCTTATGGTGTAATCAGCGGTGGATCCAAACTGCTCTTTCCCTGTTTGTATGTTTCTGGAGATTTTCAGCTTTCTGATGTTTATTTTCAGCCTTGTGGTCACTTTGGCACAGAAACATGACCCACTTTAATCTCTCAGCGGTCGGTTTATAAAGTCTGCAGAGACCCAGAAACAGTTTAGTCCACCAGTTAATCGTCTGTTGATAACAGGGAGATCAATCAGAATCGATTTAATGTTAAACTGCAGTAAATGTTTGAACTCCCCAGTGGTGGAAAGAATCTAAATAGTTTGACTTTGAGCTGTGTTTGGACTCTACTTGAATATTTACATTTTATGTCACTTCATACTTCTCCTCAACTTAATATATTGTCTTTTTTTAAAGTTATTTTTTGGGGCCTTTTCGCCTTTATTCGATATGAGAGCTGAAGAGAGACAGGACATATTTGAAGGAGACAGCGGGGGGGATGACATGCAGCAAAAGGTCGAGGCAGGATTTCGTTCTTCAGTTCTTATGACCACATGATGTTTTTTACCCATAACACAGAATGTTTACAGCGTTGAAATAGTTTCTTTCACTATTTACTCCTCCCCTTCAGCCGCAGTGTGCAGCACTTGATGCAATTGTCTCTTCACTGCCAGCAATGTCTAAACTGTTTCCATGGCTACTCCACCCTAACTGTTGCCGTGGTTACTCCACCCTATGAAACCCACTCTATACGGGCGTACTCGGCTCAGCTATGTGACCTTTTCTCTGTGTGTACGCCGTATCATCTGACCTTGGATGTTTAAACCACAAACCACAAACGGCATGAATGAGACAAAGTGAGACTTAAGTTCACTTTAAGAGAAAAAAGACAACAATGAGTAGGCCCCTCTGTCTGCTACCACGTGCAACAAAGTCATATTTTTGCATTTATTTTTTCTGTTACTGTGAAAAGGATCCAAAAGAAAGGCTAAAACTCCCCAATACATCCAGCTAAATAAAACAATAACACATTAAAGAATAAATATAGTGTCGAAAAAACATCCTGCTTCCCCAAATAGTTAATCCGCCACAGAAAGTAGTCCCAAACAAAAGTACCATTTCCTATTGTTGAAGTAAGTTAGACTGTTTAAAAAAACAGAGTTTATATTTGTGACTTTTTTTATATTATTGCAACTTACAAAAAGTGATTTAATGTGTCTGTATAAAAACTGAGCTGCATTTTGTTTTAGGACATTTTTCCGCCTCACATCAGTCTCTTGTTAGACGAGTTCTGATTGGTAGTTGTGTTTTTCTTTACACTGTAACTGGCAGAAAGTTACAGTAGGCTTCCATCCCAACAAAGTGATGTTTAGTCGACACAGAAGCAGCTGTTGTTAGTAGCCAATCGGCTTCACTTATTCCGCTAGTTCAAGCATAATTATTTCTGTAATTTCACTTACAACAACCTGGTCACCCTCATCGATCTCGTCCGAGCTCGCTGCCAATCTCTTTGCCCTGCGTTTCGCTATTTGTCTGGCACTAGTGCAGGAACACAACGTCCCCATTCTCAGTCCTGCCAGCCAATCACTGGTTGTCTCTGTTTGTTTTCCAAATGGTGGAGAAAAAAAAACGTCAAAGAGCCCAACAGCAGAGCTTTTTGAATCAGTGAAATAATCAGAGATGTAGGCAGCCATTCAGAGATCTGAGAGCTGGCTCTGCTTAGAGCTGAGAGGCACAGACAGTGAAGAGAGACGGACTAACATGGCGTTAGTTTGAGTCTTTTCTTAGGATTTATTTTTTACAAGGAAAATGAAGAATAATACTAATTTTAACATTTTAAAGAAATTGCATTAAAAAAAAAGAATAGCCTCCAATTAATTATAAATAGAAGGGGGATGTTTGTGTGTCCCATTGAAACTAATGAATAGTGTACTCTCAGTGCTCGGGGGACAAGACTCCCATTGTAGCATTACACATGACAGAATCCAAACAACGAGAAAGCTGCGGCCTCGCCAGCGAAGGCGATCCTGACAATCCCTCGATTCCGCATCCGCGAGCTCAGGCGTTTAGAGAGCAAACAAAGTGAGGGGCCGATAAGAACTGGATCCTCCAGCTGTTTGTGTACACAGGGACATGTACGTTCATCTGCAGGAGGGTTATATTACAGGAGGCCGGTGTAAAGTAGTCTGTAAACAAGAGAGCATTTACTCTTTATCTACACACACAGTTTGTCCCTGATTGTGTCCCTCCACATGACTCACAATCATTTCACCTGCAGCAGAAAGGGAACGTGACAGCAGTCTTTGTCGCAGCTTCATGAGGGGAAAAAGGGGAGTTGTAAAGGTCTGCTGATGTAGCTTGTTCCTCTCGGGGGCGTGTGAAAATGTAATCTTGGCAGCGGCCACCGGCCTCCCGAGCAAACCCCTAAGACGGCTCTGCGAGGAGAAGCTCGGTCAACACGGCTGTTGACACAGTTCCAAGAGCTGTCTGAAATGATGTGTGTGTTTTAACCACAAAATGTAGATTTGTGTGAAGGGGGATTCAGATTCAGTACACATAAACATTCATTTTAGTGTCTTCTCTTTGAAGTAATGAGCAGTTATCTTGGTCTGGGCCGGGAGTCAACAAAGCCTTAAAGGAAAACATTTCTCTCCAAACTGGAGGTTTGGGTTTTGAAAGTTGTGGGAGGTGACGAGGCATTTACAGCCTCACAGAGAGAGATACTTTTCACATCATGGTTTTAGAGCTTGACTCACATTGTTGACCTTTAATCTGCACATCCTGGACTTTAACTGCTCAGTTAGACCATCCTTTGTCTCTTGAGACTCATTAGAATCAATGAAGTATTAAAACACTAACAGGAGGGCTTTCATAGGTAACATACAGACTGGAGCTAAATGTCCCTCACAGCCTCTCAGAGCTCAAGGTGACCTCCTCAAAATGTCTGAAATCCCAGAAGAAAAGAAGGAGCCGTCACATTTCAGAAGCTGGAGAGAGAAAATGCACCTGGTTTGAGTCTTAGCTTCCTCTTGACTATTTCTCTACGATGATATTCGTAGTACTTCACATACTTCACTGTTTGCATTGCCGTTGTTATCAACCCGTCTTGATGGACGCTACCTCAGCATATTTATCTCAGGCTGATCTGTGAAAGTTACCAAACATAATTTAGTTCTGCGCCTAAAATGCATTTAAAATGAGTTTTAAACTCATAAGCCGAAAATAATAATATTATTCATAAAAAGACTGCTGATTAATCAATTAGTTAATTTGCTGTAAATTGAGTAATTGATTATTTGTCACACACTCTAATTCTCTGTTTCAACCCTTTGAAATTTGAGGATTCACTGTCTTTGTCCGTCTTACTGGTCTCTCAATGTCTTTTATTTTCCTTTTAGATTACAAAGAAAAGGCCGAACATCTCCATGTTTGAATAGCTGTAGGGCAGAGAATATTTAGCCTTTTGTCTCGTTATTTATTAGGATTGCATCATTGATTCCTCATCCAATTGTTTTAGCATTAAAACACATCAAACAGGAACACAAAGGAGTTTGTCTGATGTCGTGTTTGGTCCTGCCTTCTCACCGGCGCTGCCTGTCGCTCAGCTGAGAGGCGAGGATGCTGCTCTCTCATGCTCGGCTGCTTCTGTATCTCTGACCTACTTTCTGCTCCTCATCCTCCCTTCTCTCTTTCTCTTTCTCTTTCTCTTTCTCTCTCTTTCTCTTTCTCTCTGTCTCTCTTTCTCTTTCTCTTTCTCTCTCTCTCTCTTTCTCTCTGTCTCTCTTTCTCTTTCTCTCTTTCTCTTTCTCTCTCTCACTGCTTATCTCTCTCTCTCTCTCTATCGCTGCTTCTCTCTCTCTAAATCTTTCTCTCTCTCTCACTGCTTCTCTCTTTCTCTCTCACTCTCTCTCTCTCTCTCTCTCTCTCTCTCTCTCTCGCTGCTTCTCTCTCTCCGAGCCTCCGGCAGCCGCACACTGACTCTACCTTTTCTAATGACGGCCCTGCAGAGGAGGGGGATGAAGGTGGAGCCCGTTTCCATTTTGCCTCCATCTAAACGCTGGAGGGGAAAGCATCTTTCAGGGCCGGGGCCTCCTGCTCAGCATCTGTACCAGCTGCTACACATGCTCTGTCACTTTCCACCTTTGTTTTCATTCCTCCAGGATGTCACCACACCCTTCTACCTTTACACACATCCTCCTCTCAGGTTAAACACCCTGCAGCCTCTTAAAACAAGACATGTGTTACATAATCAAGGATCACTTTCAGCTCCAGTTTGCAGAGCAGTAAAGGACACACCAAGGCTCCGCAATCATGCAGCATGGAATTCAAAATATGAGGAATTCTTCTCATGTTGTCATGGTGCAAAGTAATTAGAAACTCCAGCTGCAGCATGTTTCAATATGTACACATGACCTAGAGCTACCATCTGATCCCACACACACACACACACACACACACACACACACACACACACACACACACACATTCATCGACTGGTGAAATGAGCCGAAGTCCTCAATCAGCATGGTGCCAATTAACTGTGTACAGGAATGCAGACTAAAGCTGCTGTGGCTTTTCCTCTCCTCTCTTAACGAGACGACGCAATCAGAGAGACGTCTGAGTTGCTTCTTCTGGCAGCTCTACAACTCTGTCTGCGTTATCTTGTCTTTGGCCTTTTCCACATCGCAATGAATGCACCCATACTTTAGGAAAAAGCTCAAACGTCCCAAGAAAAACAGTCAAGGAATCCATTGGTCTTTGGAGCCTTTTTAAATTACAGCTGAGTAAAAATAATGTTCATTTAATGACAGAATTATGAGAGATATTATATTTGATTTTCCAAAACATGAGTCAGTATCATAGACTTTATATCAGATGTAGACATTGTTTAAGGGTTTTTAAAGGCAGGTTTAAGGCACTTGGCCAGCAGGGGGCAACTTCACTGGTTGCAAAGATAAAAGTTTTTTTTTTTTTCCCTCTCCAAACATTTTTCTGTTGAGTTGAAGGTCCCAAATATTACTTTAAAAAATAAACGACAGAGCAGGCTATGGTTTGTGGGCGAGGCTACCTGTGTTATCGACAATTTGGTGTCTTATCAGTGTTCGGTTTCACTGCTAGAAATTCTAAAAGGCTTCTGTTTTTCAGTTAGAAGCCTGTTTAGACAAATTATCATCCTGTTTATGTACCTTGCTAACCAAGGTAATGTAACTTTGAGTGTTTGTCTTCTACTTTCTAGCTCCGCCCTCTCTTCCAAATATGGTCGCTGCCAAACTTGAGATTTTAAATTAGCTGTGTCCACCTATTTTGAAGAGTATTTGGTCATAAGTCCGGAGTAAGGCCTTGGAGGATGTATTGCCAATAAAATTGAGTGGAAATGAAATTGTGAAAGTTGCTCCAAATAATCTAAATGCGTTTTCTGTGAAATTGTAGTTTCTTTACATTCTTGTTTTATTCTCATTAATGCTCATAAACTGTATTTGTGTTTACAATCTTTATATTTTAAGGCACTGCTTATAAAAAAAAAGGAGCAATCAATTAACCAACATATTGTTTCAGCTCTGAAGCTTCATGGTAAATCTGTCTAACTTATATAAAAAGCTCGGCTGTAGAAAAGTAATTTTGGTGATGTTGTTGGATTTGCCAGCCTAAGCTCCTCATGCAGGTCCTTCCAAAATAAGGCAGGCTGGTTGGATGCGGTCACTGTTGGACCTGAGCCTGTGCGTGGCAGTAGCCTGTCAGTGTTTGCTAAATGGAGCACTCGGCTGAAGACTCATTTCATAATGCATGTGTCTCCGAGGCGGATGACTCAGTCACGTCAGCAGACAAATTCAGAAAGGTTACAATATAAAGCCTGGAACAATGACAAGAAGTTGCATCTTTGTTTGAATATTTATTATGTTTTTACAGAATCTAACATGTCAGAATGAAGAAACTGACAGTCGAGTAAATCGATCAAAAACAGACAATAAAGCACTTAATAGTTCAAACCTGAAACTTCAAGGATAGGTTCATATTTTTTAAAGTATGTCCCACGTCAGGTCACACTAATCCATTCTCCATGGGGGCTTAAAAATAAAACAGTTGGGATGTGCCAAAAACTGCAGTTCCTCAAGTGACCACTTGAGACAGGATCCAAAAGTGACTCAATCCCTTTTAGGACCCATATTAAAATACACTACTCTTCTAAACCTGTTAACAGCCTGGTTCAAAAAAACAGTTTGGTTTCTTTTGCTTACATTCATAAAAGGAATGAATTTGTATATAACTCATCCATCTTTATTATATTAAGGCTCAAAGGTATCCATTAAAAATCAGTTTTGTTTGACAGATGGATGCTGCTGGCTGTCTCTAAGCTTCATCATCAGCTGTTTCCAGTCACTGAACTTAACCTCTCAGCTGTGTTCATCATACTTGTGACCTTTGAAAATACTTTAGAGTTCTTATTTTACTGAGCGACAGTCTGGGGGTTTTAGCCTTTTTGGTGACTGAATTCTAAGTTGAGCATTATTTTTTAGGAGTCTGCTTTTAGGAGCCATAGTGATAAGAAAAGTAGTTTGTAGTGAGTTAGCTATATTCCAAATACTGGTTTAGCTTCTTAGG